CGTTGATGACCTCTTTACAAATCATGTTCTCCTAATAACGCAAGCGTAAAATTTTCGAAAATTCGTTTCTTATTATCTTATATTATCAGGAGAATATATTTTGCGAGGAGGTCGATGATGCGTTGATGACCTCTTTACAAATCATGTTCTCCTAATAACGCAAGCGTGAAAATTTTCGAAAATTCGTTTCTTATTATTTTTATTATCAGGAGAATATATTTTGCGAGGAGGTCGAAGATGCGTTGATGACCTCTTTACAAATCATGTTCTCCTAATAACGCAAGCGTGAAAATTTTCGAAAATTCGTTTCTTATAATTTATATTATCAGGAGAATATATTTTGCGAGGAGGTCGATGATGCGTTGATGACCTCTTTACAAATCATGTTCTCCTAATAACGCAAGCGTGAAAATTTTCGAAAATTCGTTTCTTATTATTTTATATTATCAGGAGAATATATTTTGCGAGGAGGTCGATGATGCGTTGATGACCTCTTTACAAATCATGTTCTCCTAATAACGCAAGCGTGAAAATTTTCGAAAATTCGTTTCTTATATTTATATTATCAGGAGAATATATTTGCGAGGAGGTCGATGATGCGTTGATGACCTCTTTACAAATCATGTTCTCCTAATAACGCAAGCGTGAAAATTTTCGAAAATTCGTTTCTTATTATTTATATTATCAGGAGAATATATTTTGCGAGGAGGTCGATGATGCGTTGATGACCTCTTTACAAATCATGTTCTCCTAATAACGCAAGCGTGAAAATTTTCGAAAATTCGTTTCTTATTATTTTATATTATCAGGAGAATATATTTTGCGAGGAGGTCGATGATGCGTTGATACCTCTTTACAAATCATGTTCTCCTAATAACGCAAACGTGAAAATTTTCGAAAATTCGTTTCTTATTATTTATATTATCAGGAGAATATATTTTGCGAGGAGGTCGATGATGCGTTGATGACCTCTTTACAAATCATGTTCTCTAATAACGCAAGCGGAAAATTTTCGAAAATTCGTTTCTTATTATTTTATATTATCAGGAGAATATATTTTGCGAGGAGGTCGATGATGCGTTGATGACCTCTTTACAAATCATGTTCTCCTAATAACGCAAGCGTGAAAATTTTCGAAAATTCGTTTCTTATTATTTATATTATCAGGAGAATATATTTTGCGAGGAGGTCGATGATGCGTTGATGACCTCTTTACAAATCATGTTCTCCTAATAACGCAAGCGTGAAAATTTTCGAAAATTCGTTTCTTATTATTTATATTATCAGGAGAATATATTTTGCGAGGAGGTCGATGATGCGTTGATGACCTCTTTACAAATCATGTTCTCCTAATAACGCAAGCGTGAAAATTTTCGAAAATTCGTTTCTTATTATTTATATTATCAGGAGAATATATTTTGCGAGGAGGTCGATGATGCGTTGATGACCTCTTTACAAATCATGTTCTCCTAATAACGCAAGCGTGAAAATTTTCGAAAATTCGTTTCTTATTATTTTATATTATCAGGAGAATATATTTTGCGAGGAGGTCGAAGATGCGTTGATGACCTCTTTACAAATCATGTTCTCCTAATAACGCAAGCGTGAAAATTTTCGAAAATTCGTTTCTTATTATTTTATATTATCAGGAGAATATATTTTGCGAGGAGGTCGATGATGCGTTGATGACCTCTTTACAAATCATGTTCTCCTAATAACGCAAACGTGAAAATTTTCGAAAATTCGTTTCTTATTATTTATATTATCAGGAGAATATATTTTGCGAGGAGGTCGATGATGCGTTGATGACCTCTTTACAAATCATGTTCTCCTAATAACGCAAAGCGGAAAATTTTCGAAAATTCGTTTCTTATTATTTTATATTATCAGGAGAATATATTTTGCGAGGAGGTCGATGATGCGTTGATGACCTCTTTACAAATCATGTTCTCCTAATAACGCAAGCGTGAAAATTTTCGAAAATTCGTTCTTATTATTTATATTATCAGGAGAATATATTTTGCGAGGAGGTCGATGATGCGTTGATGACCTCTTTACAAATCATGTTCTCCTAATAACGCAAGCGTGAAAATTTTCGAAAATTCGTTTCTTATTATCTTATATTATCAGGAGAATATATTTTGCGAGGAGGTCGATGATGCGTTGATGACCTCTTTACAAATCATGTTCTCCTAATAACGCAAGCGTGAAAATTTTCGAAAATTCGTTTCTTATTATTTTATATTATCAGGAGAATATATTTTGCGAGGAGGTCGAAGATGCGTTGATGACCTCTTTACAAATCATGTTCTCCTAATAACGCAAGCGTGAAAATTTTCGAAAATTCGTTTCTTATTATTTTATATTATCAGGAGAATATATTTTGCGAGGAGGTCGAAGATGCGTTGATGACCTCTTTACAAATCATGTTCTCCTAATAACGCAACGTGAAAATTTTCGAAAATTCGTTTCTTATTATTTATATTATCAGGAGAATATATTTTGCGAGGAGGTCGATGATGCGTTGATCACCTCTTTACAAATCATGTTCTCCTAATAACGCAAACGTGAAAATTTTCGAAAATTCGTTTCTTATTATCTTGTATTATCAGGAGAATATATTTTGCGAGGAGGTCGATGATGCGTTGATCACCTCTTTACAAATCATGTTCTCCTAATAACGCAAGCGCGAAAATTTTCGAAAATTCGTTTCTTATAATTTATATTATCAGGAGAATATATTGTGCGAGGAGGTCGATGATGCGTTGATGATCTCTTTACAAATCATGTTCTCCTAATAACGCAAGCGTGAAAATTTTCGAAAATTCGTTTCTTATTATTATATATTATCAGGAGAATATATTTTGCGAGGAGGTCGATGATGCGTTGATGACCTCTTTACAAATCATGTTCTCCTAATAACGCAAGCGTGAAAATTTTCGAAAATTCGTTTCTTATTATTTTATATTATCAGGAGAATATATTTTGCGAGGAGGTCGATAATGCGTTGATCACCTCTTTACAAATCATGTTCTCCTAATAACGCAAACGTGAAAATTTTCGAAAATTTGTTTCTTATAATTTATATGATCAGGAGAATATATTGTGCGAGGAGGTCGATGATGCGTTGATAACCTCTTTACAAATCATGTTCTCCTAATAACGCAAACGTGAAAATTTTCGAAAATTCGTTTCTTATAATTTATATGATCAGGAGAATATATTTGCGAGGAGGTCGATGATGCGTTGATGACCTCTTTACAAATCATGTTCTCCTAATAACGCAAACGTGAAAATTTTCGAAAATTCGTTTCTTATAATTTATATTATCGGGAAAATATATTTTGCGAGGAGGTCGATGATGCGTTGATGACCTCTTTACAAATCATGTTCTCCTAATAACGCAAGCGTGAAAATTTTCGAAAATTCGTTTCTTATTATTTTGTATTATCAGGAGAATATATTTTGCGAGGAGGTCGAAGATGCGTTGATGACCTCTTTACAAATCATGTTCTCCTAATAACGCATTTAAAAAAAAAAAAAAAATTCGCGAACCATTAATGTTCGAAATAATTTACGCATTGCCATCCGCGTTTTGTGGGCTCTTAATGCTCTTTACTTAATTATCATGTTGATAAATACATAGAGCCATATTATTTGCCAATTTATTTTGAAAAATATTTATTTCATCTTTGAATATTACAGTATCTGTCGCGATTGAATAATTTATTTGTTATCAATTTACACACATAAGTATTTAATTGTTATATAGCACTGGTGCTACCGGCATTTCGTGCACATAGCACGAAACAAAACCAGAAATTGTGCAATTATATATTACCCTCTGAGTACATTCATGGACTTTGACTTTGTAGTTTATGTCCATGTTTTGAATGTCCATAGAGGGAGTATCACTTTTGGGGTCACTCCATAGCTTGGACATGAACCATAGCTCAGACTCGAACCATGTATTATTATCGACTTTAATGGATGTAGTTGACGTCCACTTTGTCAGGGAGCGCATTAGGACAATATACCCGTTAAAGCGAGGTGGCCGCTCTCTGGTTTCTCTCTGATATACATGTATATATAATAATCGATAAAATAATAATAATATATATAATCGATTATTATCGATTTTTTCAGACATAATCGATTTTAAAAAACCATTATTTTTGAAAATCGATTATTTGAATGTCGATGCTTTTTTTAAACATCACCCATCCCTAGTATAAAGATCTTTTCCTATCGTAACGTTTGCCTCGTATTACTAATCGTTTGCATTCCATAATAATCTAATCGATCCTTATCAAGACAAGATTTTACTTTTTCAAAAGTTGTAATAACACCATCAATATATAAATATGGGACGAGATTATTTGTACGTATATCTAGTGCACACACGAATCTACAATACAAATTTCAGATAATTATAGCTAGCTTTTCACTGTTTAAAACATTCATAATGATCATCAGAATCACCAATTCTTTTTTGGTAACCTCATACGACTTTAAACGAAAATATTATTTTACGACTACACTCGGCGAAATTTATATAGTATGCAAACTATGTAGAATATTAATTAACAAATTAATGTTGTCTTATTCAGATAAGATATATACGATAAATTATTGGTCGTATTTATTATAAGAGAGGTTATGAAATTAACAAAATATATATGCTCGTATGCAAATTGTACGTGGAATTTATATAAAGAACTATACATAGAGTATAATATAAAGAAAATAAAAATGTAGAAAATAATCTAATTCATTTATTTTTATTTTTTAAATTTACTTAGTGAAGAATTAATATTATTCATGTATGGAAAAATTAATTGAATTGTATTTTTCAAATCTATCCAAAATGATCTAGATACATTAGATAATACAATAGATTTTTAGATTAAATAGATTAAATAAAACAGATTTTTATTAATTATATAACTGTACAATATCTATAAAAATCCTTCAATTATTGAAACGATATTCTTTATCAAATTTATCTTATTTATTAACTGGCTTTATAACCAGTGACACATGACTTATCAGATTATATTAGTGATTTAAAGTCAATATCATTGATATAAGTATCAATGATGTGAAGGAAAATAGCTATAAAATTACCTTTTTCAACGTCTACCTTACAGTCATATCTGTGACACAAGTGGAGAAAGACAGTTGAGCGTAGAACTTATTTACATTTCCAAATAATTTTTTTATGCATAAAATATATAACAGAATTCCATGTTTACTTAGGACTATCTCTTATTATAATAATCATAATAATCCATTTATATTTATTCTACTAATAAAATGCATGAATTTTTCTGTAACATATAATTGCAGTCGTACTGAAAGAGTGTCTAATGAATGATTTTCAAATTGCGTCTAATCTGTTATGTGCAAAATCTGTTAAAAATTTTGTAAGAAAAAATATACTATTAGCTAGTTTTTGGAAAACATAAGTTTCTTTATTGGGTCTCATACAGTACCAGAAATCAGACACAGTTTAAATTCTTTATAATTGAAGTGATTAATACAAATGTGCTAGGCATAATGGAAATGCATGATCTTTAGCTTATTAGAATGGCTTCAGTTTTCAGTACAACAAAGAAGTCCATCATGCCTGGCACACGAGATGTCGTCAACGAACTCATTGGAAAGGATTCAGTTGTGATATTCTCAAAGACTCACTGCCCATATTGCAAAATGGCCAAAAAGGTATTTATACTTTATTCCATGAGAAAGAATAACTCAATGTTCTTTGTAATAACAAATTCTTCTGGAATTTATATAATAAACAAGTAGTAATGTCATTTAATTAATGTTAGTCGTATCAAAGTAACAGACTCTGCAAAGTTTTTAAGAAACGTTCTTGCATTAATATAAATAATTATTGGTATTAGAAAAAATGTCCACTGTTGCATATATCATGCATTATATTATATAATTCATATTGATTTCTATTTTTTCTTTTTTATTATAAGTCTAGCAAATGTCATTTTTTATGATGGAATAAAATTTTATTTTATAAGATAGAATAAAATTTTTCAACATTATATTTCAATCATTTTAAGAGGATATCTATAATATAAAGTTTTTTATGATTTTATTGCGAGCATGAAATTTAAAAACTAACTTTTGTATAATTAATCTGAGGTTTTTGAAACAAATCATGCGATACTTTATATTGTATAAAAATAAAAAATATTGTTTTAATTTATTATTTGTTTGTTAATATTAATTTGATATTTATAGGTGTTTGAATCATTAAACAAACCATATACAGCGATAGAATTGGATAACAGAGAAGATGGACAAGACATACAAGATGCGTTAAACGAAATAACAGGTGCTAGAACAGTACCCAGAGTATTCCTCAATAGAAAGTGTTTAGGAGGTGGCACTGATGTGAAGAAATTGTACGACAGCGGGAAACTTGCAAATCTATTTTAACTCGATTTACAAAGTGTCTTATAAGAAATGATAAGTAATTTTTTTCTATAAATAATTTTTCTTATATAAAATAAAATATAATATATCTGTATAATCTTCTTTATATAATATAATAAAATATTGTCATGTACGCTGACATTTTCAAAAGCATGAAAAAAAAAATTTTCTGAATATCGATTAATTTTGTTAGATGAATTCTTGTTAGATGAATTCTTAAATATGAAAACTTTTTAGAACTTTACTATTCATGAAAACAGTCTACAAAATAAAGAATGAAGTAAGTTCCATTTAAAATTGACCATGGAGCTAGAAAAAAATTGTCTTACATCATGACCGGTCCGCAAGAAACCTTACGTCTATTATTACTCAGATAATTCGCGACATTTGCTAAATGTTCGCTACATATGTTAAGCATCAAGGAGAGCTACTTGCCACTTTCCACCACTTCCAGCTTCCAACACGATAATCATCGACTACTGTCAATCGCTATCGCCTCACGGATCTCGCAAATTAAAACTACTATCGATTTATCGATTAATCGATATTAATGTCGAGAAAAGAATAAATTTTCCTCTACATTTATGTAAAAAAATTACGCAATATATACATATATAAGTATATCGAATTATATTATATATTATAAAATTATGAAAAAAGCTACAAAATAAATTTCAAAAAAATTAAGCATATATTATATACATTTAAATAAATGTCGGCGAACAATCATTCCGAGTTTCTTCAATTAATTAAATTAGATTTCAATTCGAAGATTCGTTGTATACATATATTTTTGCAAAGGATCTGTGTATGTGCACACAAGCTTAATACTATTTGGAAGTAACTATCAACTGGAAACATCAATCGATTAGCTGAAGCAGTCGTAACTCGTGTTCTTGGCTTACCATCTATTTCTCAATCATTGACTGCGATTAGTCATAAGTCTGTGAAAATATACGTATACTTAAAATCCCAACTTATTCGCAATTGAATAATTGAAGGTAAGACTGTGAATCGAGGATGAAGATCTTTTCCTCTCGTGCATGACGTTTGCCACGTATCATTAACCGCCATTCCATCTAAACGAATCGATCCTTATCGAGACGAGATTCTACTTCTTCAAAAATTGTACCATAATGAATACATAATTATGGGATGAGATTTTTTGTGTGTATATTTAGCGCGCACATGAATCTACAATACAAATTTCAGATAATTATAGTTACATTTCACTGATTAAAATATAATGATCACCAGTATCACCAATTTTTTTCGGTAACCTCATAGGACGATTCTTTAAACGAAAATATTATTTTATTACGATTGTATGCTCAACGAAAATTATATAGTATACAAACTATGCAGAACATTAATTGACAAATTAAAGTTATATTATTCACAGATAAATATCTACGATAGATTATCGGTCGAATATATTATAGGAGAGGTTATGAGATTAATAAAATTATACATGCTCGTATGTAAATCGTATGTAGAATTTGCATAAAAAACTACATAAAATTTAATATAAAGAAAATAAAAATGTAGAAAATCTAATTCATTTATTTTTATGTTTTTAATTTATTTAGTGAAAAATTAATCTATTCATTTATGAAAAAATTAATTGAATAGTATATTTCTCAAATCTATCCAAAATGATCTACAGATTTTTATAAACTATACAATTATACTGTACAATTTTTATAAAAATCATTTAATTATTGGAACAATACTCTTTATTATATTTATTAATTGATTTTAACTGTGATACATGACTCGTGATACATGATACATGACTCGTGATACATGATATATGACTCGTGATACATGATACATGACTCGTCCAATTATATTAATGATTTAACTTGTTGTTAGATAAATAAGTTTTACAATTATCTTTATCTTTTTTCTCACACACCTATGTTACAGTCAGATCTGATAAGAAAGAAAACTTGTTGAGTACAATACTTATTTTCATTTCCAAATAATTTTTCTATGCATAGAATGTATAATAGAATCGCATGTGTATTTAGAACTATCTCTCATTATAATAATCTATTTATATTTATTCTTCTAATAAAATGCATGAATTTTCCTGTAACATGTAATTGCAGAATTGCTGAAAGAGTGTCTAATGAATGATTTTCAAATTGCATCTGATCTATTATGTGCAAAATTTATTTTGTAAGAAAAAATATACTATTAGCTAGTTTTTGGAAAACATAAGTTTCTTTATTGGATCTCATACAGTACCAGAAATCAAACGCAGTTTAAATTTTCTATAATTGAAGTGATTAATAAAAATGTGCTAGGCATAATTGAAATAAATAATCTTTAGCTCAGTAGAATGGGTTCAGTTTCCAGTACAAGCAAGTCCATCATGCCTGTCACACGAGATCTCGTCAACGAACTCATTGAAAAGGATTCAATCGTGATATTCTCCAAGACTCGCTGCCCATATTGCAAAATGGCCAAAGAGGTATTTATACTTTATTCCATGAGTAAGAATAATTCAATCTTCTTTGTAATAACAGATCCTAAAAATTAAATAGTAAACAAATAGTAATGTCATTTAATTAATATTATAACAAATGTTAATTGTATTAAAATAAAAATTTTTGCATTAGTATCAAAATGTTTACTATCGTATATATCATGTATTAAATAATTATATTAAATAATTCATATTGATTTCTATTTTTTCTTTTTTTTTTTATAGGTCTAACAAATGTCACTTTTTATAAGATAAAATTTTTCAACATTATATTTCAATCATTTTAAGAGAATAATCTGTAATATAAAATTTTTATGATTTTATTGTATGGAATTCAAAATTAACTTTTGTATAATTAATCTGAGATTTTTGAAACAAATCATAATGCGATACTTTATATTATATTAATTTCAAAAATGTTTTAATTTATTATTTGTTTGTTAATATTAATTTGATATTTATAGGTGTTTGAATCATTAAAAAAACCATATACAGCGATAGAATTAGATAACAGAGAAGATGGACAAGACATACAAGATGTGTTAAACGAAATAACAGGTGCCAGAACAGTACCCAGAGTATTCCTCAATGGAGAGTGCTTAGGAGGCGGTACCGATGTGAAGAAATTGTACGACAGCGGCGAACTTGCAAAATTAGTTTAACTTGATTTACAAAGTGTTTTATGAGAAATGACAAGTAATTTTTTCCATATAAAATAAAGCATAATATACCTATAATCTTCTCTATATAATGTAATAAAATATTGTCACGTGTTCTAACACTCAAAAGTATGAAAAAGAAAATTAATTTTCTGAATATCAATTAATTTTAATTTTGGATTCTTAAGTATGAGAACAGTTTATAAAATAAAGTGAGTAAGTTCCATTTAAAATTGACTATAAAGCTAGAAAAAATTAACATAAAATCTACATAACATAAGGCCATTTCACTTGTTTGTATTTAATATCTATATAAATTATGCTAATTATAAATTGCGTTATATGCAATATTCGCGACAGTAGGTAAAAAATAGATATGACGTTTCCAACTGCACTTTCTGCACTTTTTTTCGGTTTGTACTCTCTTGTCGCGAATTTTAAGTAGAATACCTATTTCTTCAGATTGGAAGGTGTAAGGTGATGTAAATAGAGGAAACGCAGCAAATAATTGGAACAGTTTAATCGATGTCGTGTCCGCAATCCGCGAACACCACGTGTTCATTTGTGATGACGATAGTTAATTCGTACACCTAAAAATATCCGTAGTTCAGCGGATCGCCCGTTCGCATCAGTTCCCAATAAAGTGATTATTACGAGCAATGGATCTGCAATATCGTAAAGTCATAATTTACGCGATAACGTTCTTGGCGTACGCCTGGTCCGGCTACGGCGCCGGATTGTTGTCGAATCTACGGGACGCCGTGTTGGCAGCGGAGTCGGTCTTTCAAGATCTCTTCTCCAACGCCATAACCGTCGCGAGGAAAATCAAGGATATACACGAGGTGTTCGATGCCGCAGTGGAGGAGAACTGCGTCTTCCAATGTCCTGATGGTGCGTATGTACCTATTCGTGGATTTAATCATCGTGTTATCAGATTATTTCTCCAACGCGCCCCGCCATTGGTCGATTTCGATCGATTAGGCTCTCTGTTTTAATTGCACTTTTTACACTTTATTCCTTCTTCCTTTCTTTCCCCAAGAATTTAATGCGCATCTCTTGTGATTTTCATGCGGAATAAGACAAAGTTGCGAACGATCCTTTCTCCAATGTTGACACTTTGAATGAAATATCCTCGAAATCAGCTGTGACAGGCTGCGTTCCACTTGACAATCGCAACACAACAGAAGTCATATCATTCTTGTTGGTTACTGAAAGTTAAACAAGGACAGATTATGCTCGTGAACGTCAAGTGGAACGTAGTCATGGTCTACGTTGTGATTGGGTAAATTTCAATGATGCATTATTTGAATCTTCCAGGCTTCGCGCCGAAACCGGACTGGAATCATAAACCGCGAAGCGATGGATGCGGTTCCCTCGGAATTAAAGTTGGTATCTGAGGCTTCCTCAGGAAATTAGATAAATCACTGTTAAATAAAGCACCGTGTCTTAACAATAATAAAATAAAAATTTAAATGTGTGCGACATTAACTATTTGACTAATTGGGCAAACAACTTATTATTTTTCTAGTTTACAAGCTATTGTTTATAAACTATTATCTATAATTTAATCAAATTTCTAATTTAATTTGGAAATTTAGATTAATGTAATTTTTTTAAAAATTAAAAAATTAAATCGAGTCTCTTTCTTTCCTATTTAATAGAGTAAATAATTGTTGATTGCATTATTTTTATTATATTAATTACACAGCGATTTTTGTAAAATATAATTATTACGAATGTTTGTATATCTGTAGGTAAATCAAGAGTACCTCCCGCTTTCTGAAATGACAAAGTGCTGTGACTTCCACGACATTTGTTATGACACTTGCAATACGGACAAGGAGAAGTGCGATTTGGAATTCAAGAGATGCTTGTATAAATTTTGCGATACGTACGAGACTACCGGCGTTACCGTCGTCAACACGTGTAAAGCTGCAGCAAAGGTCCTTTTCACGGGAACAACCGCATTGGGTTGTAAGAGCTTTCTGGATGCTCAGAAAGAGGCTTGCTATTGTCGTAGCGATAAATGGAGCAAAAATAAAAAGCCAAAGAAATCAGCGCAGGCCGGCGGAGAATTATAACGTCGAACATGAAAAAAATAAAGGACAATATAATATATATCTCTAACAAAATGTAATTAAATAGAATAAATTTCTATTAATCTCTTAACTGTATAAGGTAAGGTTTCTATAAGAGTTTATTCTATAATATTATTTATATGACCATAGTGTTTATAAGATTCAATTAAACAAAGATCATTCAAAATATAAAATAAGAAAACATTTTTTTATGTTATACTATATTAATTAGAAGCTATATTTAAATTATTTTAGACAGTCTATTCACAACAAAATTCGGACGGAACAGATTTTTATTAATAATTTTATTAATTTCTATTAATATATCATGTAATATATAAAAGATTCAAAAAAGTTGTACGTATCAAAATATACATACGATATCTAGAATATGTAATTATAAAGTGATTTCTATTCAGAATCTTTTTTTTAAATTGTTTGAAGTGGATTTTAAAGGCGATAAAGAGATAAAAGATAAATTGTGATATTAAATTGATGATTATGTCACAAAAATCTAAAAGATAAATCGTGATATTAAATTGATTGATTATGTCACAAAAATCGCTCCGTTTTATTTATATATACGTGACTTGTAATATTGAAATCGTGCTCGTCTTTTGAAAAAACAAGAAATAATCTTTTGCGATATCTTTTGCGATAAATATCGATATGACAACTGCCTTGGACAAAATTACCGGCCGTAGTCGATGGAAATAATAATAAATTGTCAAGTAACACTAACTGTCGAGACAATTGTTTTAACGCTATTGTAATATAAAACTGAAATGGGAAACGCCAGTTCTACGCAGTCTTCTAAGAATCAAAAAGATAAGAGGGAAAATCACGGCTGGTAAAACAATTTTTATTTTATATAACAAAGCAAAACGCTCTCGTTTTGCATAATTTCAATTTTTGACATATTCCTTTTCATATGAAATACAGCTTGCTTAAGAACCTGATATCTTGAATCATGATGTCAGAAGAAAAAAGAAACTTTCTTGCAATATATATTCATGAAAAAAATTTCATTGACTAAATTTCTCTTTTTTTTTGGTCTCTTATAAAATTGATAAAAAAAAGTGATTTTCTTGCTGCATAATTATTTGCGAGCAAAAGAACCTTTCGATCTTGACATCATAATTTAAGATACAGACATCGAAATTTTATTGTTAACGACTGATCAAGCACGCAAAAGCGTACTTTGCAGTTTCGTCTTTTACGTAGCGCAGATACTAGACAAGACAGACGATCCACAAACGGAAATGGTAAAACAATCAACCAAAGTTCACGAGATAGGCATAAAAACGTCCGAGCGACGAATCCTTTCATCATCTTCTTCCTGCGATTGCGTAGCAAGAAACCGAAAGAACATGTCACCGTGATAGCGCGAGCTGCGGGCAAATTGTGGGCCCGAATGACTCCCGAACAGAGGAAGAAATACGTAGATCTTGCAAACGCGGAAAAGAAACGACGCCAGGAGAGAAAACGGAAGAGAAAGCGTTTGTCCACACATTCGAAATGATCAGTGTGCGAATAAAAAAAGTAGCAATTGGACGCATATATATTTCTATTATTTCTAAGTGAAGAGATCGAAGTAAAAGTCCAGGAGAAATTCATAATTCAAAAAGTTATAAATTGTAAAACATAAAAACATCCATAATTTGTATAAATTTGTGAAATAGACTTGATGCATATTTTTTAAGATGAATTATAGATTTAATTAACTCCTTTTTCTTTCAATCTTTCAAATACAAGATAAAGCCGATCGCATTTTTATGTCGCAGGATAAAGTAGCAAAACTTTTAGAGCTTACACTTGGATGGAGACGCGCAACGCATGTCGCTATAATAGTATTAATAATATTTGGAAACGATCAAAATGCGATTATATATTTTTGATTTCTTTTTTATTTGTTAGTAGTCTTTTTTTAGATCTATGTACAATAAATATTGATGTATTTTTATACATTATTAATTATCTTATCATTCACTTAAACCTAAACTAGGCGATCTGCCATTTTCTTCCATTTCGCGCGTTTCTCGCGAATTTTCTCTCGTCTGAAAAAATTAAACTCGTAACGCTTCGTACCATAAATATATTATTTTTTTTGCCGTGTTGACCGTTCCGCGAAGCGTCGTCCAACGAGAGAAGGAGGGGAAGGGAAATGACGCAGTTCAGGGTAATATATTTACGAGGGTAACGCGAATATACGTACGTTACCGTTGCTCTTTCCTTCATCTTGGGAAAGAAAGTTGAAGGACGCGCACGTTTTCTCTCGCGATTTCGATACAAAAAATAATTTCAACGCGAATCTCGCGACGCTTCGTGAAAGAGTCGGATTTCCACGCTCCGTTTATCCTTTCCGAAACTAGAGCTACCCTTTCGCGATGATAGATAATAAAAACATACTATAATGAATACCGAATGAATGCGTGTGTGATATCGTATATGCGACAATTAAAATATAAAACGTACAATGTGTGTGATTACGTTTATTATGTCTATATGTTGTGTATGAGTGTGTCTGTGTACGCTTTTCATCATACCTGTCATAATAGCAGTAATGAGATTATTGATTAATAATAATAATAATATAATAATAACAATTGATAAAAATTATGCGAACGATGACGCTGACGATCGAAATTGATGATTTAATACCAATGATGTAGGCGACAATCAATCGATTTCCGTAATAATACAATGAGGATTATCATAGCGATACGTGTAATTACTTTTTTTTTCTTTATGATACAGTAAAGTACAAGTGTGCCAAATAAACAACAACGTTCAACAATCGATAATATCAAACAGAATATTTTTTATTCGTAAATATTTATATATATTTATATATATATAAATACATAAAACGTAACACCGCTGCGGTTTCGCAAAGGAATGCCCTACTAAAAATAGGTATCCGCATTTTTTTTTTCACTCTTCTCTCTTTCGATCAGGGATGAGGAAAAGAAAGAGCGGTATCTTGGCCGACTGAAATTAAATCCGTCCAAGATAACGTTTTTACTTCTTCTTTTTTTCCTTTTATTTAAAACGCACAAGCTTACGCGAACTCGTGCTTTCGAAAGAAGATAACTATGATTAAATTGTACCTTGTGTGCAATCTTTGTGTCGACAAGTTAAGAATCAGTTTAATACGAGCCTTTCTCAAGTAGAAGAAAAACGTCCTGTTGTTGATGGACATAAATAGAGAAGAAGTGGGAGGATATTAATTACCTTCCTTTCCTATCTTTCTCCTTCTTCTGCTTTTCTAAAAATAAATCTGGAGTTAAAAATCGGACATATATATGGGCATATATATATATATATATATATATATTCGCGTAATAACGTAATTTCTAATGTATTAATTTATACATATATACATACATATATATGTACATATACATATATACATACATATATATGTACATATACATATACATATACATATACATATATATATATATACATATATACATATATACATATATTTATAGTAAATTTAGTTAATACATTTTATTCGCGAATATATTTTAAGATGCGATAAAAAATAAAATATAATTGTATCTGTAATCTGACAAAGAGATTGCGTCTAACAGAATGTTTTTATTCTATTCTGTTTCTACTCAAGTATTTAGCTTTCTCGCAAATCACCGCACTGACTCACTGTCAATGCAGCATTCTTGTCAGTAAATTTCAGAAATGAGTACCTTCTCTTTTGGAGGTTTCATGTTTCCTAAATTGACAAAAGAAAGTTGCAAACGAGGCAGAATATAAAGAATATAAAGAGATAATAAAGAGAAAAAGAGTTATAGCAGACTGGCTGGCGGACAGAATCGATAGAAGCAACGAGTGATCGAGAAGATAAGAGTTCACAGCGTCGATCACATGGTGGTAGAAGGTCGATTTCCCATCGGCGATCGTATCGAAGAGAGCATTAACTTGTCGCGTGAAGAAGTTTTGTTCGCCCGTCGAACGTCGGAGGAGATTGACGTAACGATGGGGGACGACGAGCGCGACGGCTAGCGTGGCCTCATGGTGCTGTTGAGGGGTTGCATGAGACCACCGTTGATGTAACCGTGGTACGTAGTGTAGACTGCCGTCGGATTCTGTTGATGCGGGTCCTGCGGATATGTCGGCACATTTACCACGCCGACTGGCAGCTGGCTCGCTTGATTCATGAAGCCGCCGAGTTGCGCCGCTTGGTTCATATAACCGGTAGCCGGTTGCGCCACGCGATAGCCATACTGAGCGGCTGCCATGAGATTCGTGTTGAGGGCAACGTTCGGGCTGACACGGCTTGCTGCGCTCTGCATTTGCGGACAGGTGCCACTTGGATCGAGAGTCTGTCGATAAAGACTCTCGCTGGGATACGGCTGCGTGAGCGAGGGCATATTGGCGTTCGCTGACGATCGCGAGGCGGATCGACTGGGTGGTCCGGGTGTGCCGGGAGGTACAGTATTGACGTTGTAATAATTCTTCGCATAGCCAAGCGGCACTTGAGGCGGCGTTGGCAGCTGCCGCGATGTTTGCGGCGGTGTCATGGTATGCGGGATCGGCGGCGGAGGCGTAAGGTTCATCGCCGGCGGTGGCGTGGGCGATATCATATCTAGACCATTTGTCAGTTGCTGCAGCTTGGCCAGGCTGCACGAGTTGGTAGTTTGATGACTGCCGCCGGAGGCGGAGAGTGGCGTCGGCGCTGGAGTGTGCGAATGCGGCGGCATCGCGCTGGTTTGTATGTAAAAGTTGGTAGCGGTAGTGCAAGGAGTCGGTGCGCCGGAACGACCGCTTCGATGCTGGATCACGTAGGTATTCTGCGTAGGGAAGCCCTGCGAGCCCGCTACCGCCATGTAATTGCTCTGCGAAATCACAGCCATGTTGTGCGAGTGCGCGGCATGCGGGGTGTGCGAATGTGGATGCGGTGGCACGCTCATCGATGATGGCGACTGTTGGTATTGCGGCACCGCAACATGCGTCACACTGCTGCTGTGGCTGGTCTGCGACGTCGCGGCACTATGTTGGGAGGCTTGCGTAGCGTGAGACGTCGGCGGAGTGGCCCGATGTGACCTGCTACTCTGCTGTGTCGATCTGGATCTGTGAGTGGTTTGCGAACCGCTAGCTCGTTTGCTATGCGATTGAGACTGTTGCGGTGGCTGCTGCTGTTGCTGCTGCTGTTGCTGTTGCGATTGTTGCTGTTGTTGGTGCGCAGATTGTTGCTGCTGCTGCTGCTGCGACTGTTGTTGCGATTGAGTCTGCTGAGACTGACTATGCGCCATATTTTGATTCTGCGTCAGCGACAGTTGCATCGGTTGCGGCGTGTGCGATTGGGGCAAGGGCTGCGGCGTATGGCTCTGCGGCAGCGGTTGCGGACTCTGCGTCGGTATACTCTGCGGCGTGTGAGATTGCGGCAACGGTTGCGGCGTGTGGCTCTGCGGAAGCGGCTGCGGACTCTGCGTCGGTATACTCTGCGGAGTGTGCGATTGCGGAGTACGCGGTTGTTGAAGAGATTGCGATTGATGCATCGAGTGAAGCCCCGGATGATGCGCGGGCGGCGTGTGCTGCGATATTGAACTACAGTCAGTGGCGTACTGCACCTGCGGCGGCATATTCACCGGTGGCACTGGTGTTGAAGTCACCGATGTTGCGATTTGCATAGGTACCGAGATAGGCACGCTAACAGGTGGCGGAATCGATGGTAAAGCGCTGGGCGGCCTTTCCACACTGTTTTGCGATGCGAGATCACTAGCTATAGAAGTGGGCGATTCTAAGCCCAATTGACTAACGTCCAGATCGCATTGACCGTAATGCAGCGAGTGCACGGAATTAGTTGTAGAGTCCGGCGTATAAACTCCCATAGATGGCAAGTCCGGTTGTGACGGTGGTGTTCTCTTCACCGAACCTGGATTCTCCAGATGCGGTGTTGTCTTGCCGCTCTCGGGCGAGTGCTGTTTCAACTCCTCTCCCTGACTCTGTAATTGTAAGGTCGTATCCTGATGTTCCACGGTAGGTAATATTTTCTCTTGCAACGTAAGCGGTTCGGTATCTGACGTCAGCACCGTGTTAGCACCGAGAGTGCACGTGTCCTTTTTCTCCACGGGGGAAGGTTCTACTTTCGGTCGCGACAAATCGATTTTTGCGACGTCTTTCGACGTTTCGCAAACAATCTTCTCTTTAGAAGGACTATCACGATTATCCTTTTCTGGTATATTCTCCGATTTCTCGACTTCTTCCTCTTTTGGTGAAGCAACTGGTTCAGGTACTGATTTCGATGTCTCCGGACTGCAAACAGGACGTTTGTCAGTTTCGAAGTCTTTATCACATTCGTTTAAAGTTTCTTCAATCTGATCGTCGCCAACTGTTAGCGGTGGATCCGATTCCGCTTTCTGTGATGAACTTTCATCGTTGTTCTTCTCCTGCAACTTATTATCCGTTTTTTCATTCTCGCATGAGTCTTTCGCGGGGTTTTCCGTATCAGGTGAGGCTGATTGCGTCACGAGTTTAGGCGTTGGTGCGACTGTTTCTTCTTCCTCTCCTTCATCCTCATCGCCACCCTCGTATTCGCCGGAACTCGCAGATACCACCTCCGTTTCCGTGGGAACGGGCAATCCGTTGTCTTCTATGTTTTCACTTTTGTTATCTCCGTTACTAAAGTGCTTTGCAGGAGGTGATTCGGGCACAGACGGTTGTTTACTTCGAGGCGGAGAATTTTTTACGGATTCAGGCGGTGGAGATAACGAGGGGGGTGGTATCACAGGACTCTCAGCTCGGTTTTTCGCGCTCGGAGATTCTGGCGTAAGTTGTGGCATTTTCAAAGCCTCCACCGTTGCTTTACCTCTACCCCGCCTGGACAATGGCAAGTTCTTGACATCTCGCGTTTCCTCTTTACCATTACATTGTATCGTCTCCTCCAGTGCTTTCTTTTCCTTCGCTTGCAAATATTTAGTTTGTCTGCTAGTAACCTTCAGTAAAATATCGTCCACTTTACACTGCTTCTTCGCCGGTTTGGGTGGACTAGCTGCCGAGTCCAATTTGGGAGGTGTCTTCCTTGTTTCTACCGATGTTTCTTTCGCACAATCTTTTTCCTTTACTTTATTATCCTTTTCTTTCACTTTCTCCTTTTCTTTTTCGCGCTCACGTTGCGTTTCTCGCTCTTTCTCCTTTTCTTTTTCCCTCAGAGATTCTCGCGTCCTTTTTCTACTGCTGACTTCCAGCTTCTCTTCTTCGATTTCAGTCTTCTCGGAATGTTTTCGTTTTCTCAAAGGAGTAATAACCGATTCGGATATAAGCGTCTTGGGTGGTCTAATCCTTCTCCTCGACATTGTCATTATCTGCACTGGTTTCGGTGGAGTCGATGGAGTATTTTTTGCTGAACTAGCAGTGCGCGAATTTCTCGGTGTAGATGTCACGTTTTTAGTTTCCGCTCCTGCGTCTTTCCGACTCTCCGCACTTTCGGCATTACGGGTTTCCCTTACAGATGTCTTCGGCTCTCTCAATTCTTTCGTCACCTTAACTTCCTTTGTATCTTTACTATTCTTTTCCTCTTTGGTCGCATACTTGTGAGATGTTGTAGTCTTCTGCAAAGTTTTCGGTTTCAAAGGCGTCAATCTTCTCTGACTCGTTCTTCTCCCCCTGGGTTTCTTCTTTATTTTTACTCTTTGTATCTTTTCGACGACCGCTGGCACGGGCTTAGGCTCTACCGTAGGAGATATCTCCGAACCGCTTTCTTCTGGGCTCTGATAGGGATTAGGAATTTGTGTGAGCAATGGTATCCATCTGAGGCAATCGGGGTCTAATTTGATGCGAGAACTTTTTCGTACTTTTGCCATGTGAGCATCCACCTTGCTCCAATCGACTACCACAGCTACCTTATTAATATTTCCGTCGCCTGGCAAGTGAACCGATCTTATGAATCCGAGCAGTTGCATCGCAGTGGCGATGTCATGCGCCGATACGCCAGTCATCTTTGTAATGTCACCGAGTTTGATGTCAACAGCATTTCGATGCGCATCCAGGTATTCGAGCACCACACTCTTCCAAAAAGAATGATACGATACTCGACCGAGATCCGAGAGCGGTTTCTCTGGTGTTCCCGGTATGCCCTCGACTTTGGACAATAGATAACTGAATTCTATGAGAAACCTGCCGAAACCCTGTCGCTGATATTGCGGTAGCGTCATAATACAGGACACGTTGTACCTCTGAGCCGGACAATGTTTTTCCTTGCTGAAGTAACCGATCAAATGGCAACCATATTTGTCGTTTTTCGTCATGGCGTAGAAGAGAAACGGTTCTACGTCGTAATAGAGAGTTTTATGATCCAAAAATAACTTTGCTAGCAGACACAAATTTTGACAATATATCTTGTTTACGTTACCATCGATCTGGAACATCAAAATACATTCTTAGTCAGTTTCACAATCAAATGAGAAAAGTAATAAATAAGCAATTTATATTTACTATAACATGTACCTCGAATACAGACAATCCGTTGCACCTATAAATCTCGGTAGCGGGTGGATGCCTCCATTGACATTTGTCCATATGCCTATCCAACACGGCTCGACTTTTCGTATATTTAAGACAGAATTCGCAAAAGAACAACTTCGGCAATCGCGCATATTCTTGAGGAAACGGACTCGAATACCATGTCTCTACCTCATAGCGACCAAATACTATTGCGGCGGGATTGCGCGGTGCGGTGCCGGACGCGTTCGGTGTATTGACGCACAATGGTTGTTCGCTTTCGTCGCTGCTAACGGTCAACTGAGCTCTCTCACGGGCTTCTTTGATTAGATCCACGTCCTTTTGCGTAACACCTGGCGGCAACGTTTGCGGTACGACTGGTTCTTCTATAAAAAAAAAAAAAAGAAAAGTTAATTATAAATATTAATCGAAACCATATAAACCTGTGAATTTTAATAATGTTTTTCAATAATCCGTTCTTCTTAGACTTGTTATAATTAGAATTGAATTTTGCATATTTCATTACTGATATGATTAATTGCATTTTATGTTTACGACACTGCCACCTACAACTGCAATAGCTTGTTGTATGAAAAAACATAGGGAAAACTATGTGTTTCATGTAAAAGGAAACTGACAGACGAATTCATAAATGAGAAATGTTTCAGAATTTGCCATGAATTTAACGTGGAATACATCATTTGTACGTATATTTTAAAATTAATTTTTAAGTATTTTGAAATATATATGGATAACTTTCTTTTTAAACACGAGATATGTTACACGAAAAACGAAAATAATTTGATATTATCCGACTTGATAAGTTTTAAATATTGATTTGGGTAAACTAGTCGACAAAACGGGATTAGTTGTGTTTCATTGGAGGAATCAACCGATATAAAAAAGAAACAGATATAAATTATAGGAAAAGCAAAATTAATCGAACGGTATGGCACGGTAACATGGGCAATCTAATATATGTAATATGCCAAAGGAATGTGCAAATAATAATTTGATTGCCGATTAATAATGTGAGTAGTATTCAAAGCAAAGCTGTGGGTTAGATTTGAGGGATGTGTTGGCAGAGTATCAAAGTTGGCTCTTCGATGGCAGGAATTTCTCTTTTTTTTCGTGAAGTAGAGGTAAGAAGGGCCTGCTAAATGTCAGCAGCAGCAGGTAGGCTCCAGTGTGAATAATATAAAAGGGCGGCTGAGTGTAAGATAAGCCACCCAGTGCCAGTATTTCTTCAGTGCCTGGAAATTGTGGTTTCATTTTTTTACAGGGACAGGAAGAGCAGGGAATAAATCGCGATTTAAAGTATTATCCGATTAAGCGTTACACTAGGACGTCGAATTTCATTTTGTGTGAAGTATGACGCAGTCATAATTAGTAATATTTATTTGAAAAATAGAATTTTGTAATGTTTTTTTTTGTCAGTTATCTTGCAAAAAATGCAATGACAGAATTTGTCTTGCGCACTGATGTATAAAATTCATGTAATCCAATGTACAATGAGAGGTCAAAACAAAATTGTGCAAATGTTTTTATGATTCGTTTGCGGATGAGAGTTATAATTGCACATCTTGTATGTACAAGTATTTTGACAAGAAAAAAATGAAAAACGACTGAATTTAAAATAACAAATGTAGGCTTAACATTTTTCGACTTAGCAAATATCTCTGTAAATATATGTAGCATGGATTAAAGGAAAAAAATGCCAGAGCCAAATAATATGATTAACAACATGCAATAACCATATTAGTATCCACAGTGTAAAACAAATGAAAACGAGTTTTTTTATAAATCGTTGCAGTTGATGTATATCTCCCAATTACATCCTTGCATTTTTTCCTACACTATATTAAATATCTTGATATTGTGTGTGTTAGCATTGGTTTTACACCATGTAGCAGATAAACGTCCTATCAAGAAACCTGATTGTTCACGATTTATTATAATCAATCATTTATATAAAAAATTATAATTAAATATAATTAATGTTTTTCCAGATAGCATTTACAGTTTTTTCTCTAAGTCATCGGAACAATCATGTTGTCTTGAAAAAAAAGTTACGGTCATCAGACGCACGTACACCACACACACTACCACACCACACCGCCAACACATCCACGTGGTCGTGAGCGAGGATTGGGTTAGAAGGAAGTCTTCATTGCGAGTTTTTTTAGGGTGCATTATTTAGGTTAGGGACTTGTGAACGGGTGGGGTAGACTCTTACCCTTCCTGGTGGAGCAGGGTGTCGCGCGGGGTGTCGTGGTGGTGTTGGTAGTGGTGGCGCTAGTACAGGCTCGTGGAGTGGATTTTAGGTTGGGATTTGATTTGACGGAGGAATCGGAGCCGAGGTCTAAGGATTTCGCAACGGCGGGCACAGGGTGGCGTATCTGCATATTTGGATCCACAGCAGTTTGCTTCTTACGCAATTGCTGGTGCTGTTGCTCGTGTCTCGACGATGACGCTGACGGTGAAGACGAATCCGCGGCGGCGCATTTTACGAGCGATGACGCATCATCTCGCATCAACTTTCTCCTCTCATGCTCGTGCCTTTTACTATTCACCGCGGTTTTCACCAGACCCGAAGGCGTCATCCTCGGTAATTTTTCTTCGCTAAGCGAGTTGAACACGCTCTCGTCGGAAGGTACAAAGATACCAGGTTTCGGTACTCTCGATATCTCAGCGAGAATTTCAGTCTTTTTTCGATCCTTGAGTTTACTCGTGCTAGGTAAATCATCCGATTTGTTTCTTTGCGTGCTCCTTGGGATTTTGTTCGTTTTAGAGGTATCATTCGTATTAGGCCTTTTCCTCCGGTCTGGCGCGTAATTTGGCGCCGGTACACCAGCCGATCTTGCCCTGCTGTTTGCAGGTGCTGAAAAAAAGTGACTCAAGCCATCGAAAAGGCTCCTCAATTGACCACTCCCGGGCTTGACTTTGTTATCCGCATTCGCAAAGCCAACCGATGTTTGTGCGACATTTTTATCTTTCTTTTTATTATCCGACGAATTGGCGGTAGCAGCGGGTTGTTGTATGTGCAAGCCAAAAGTCGGAGTGTCGCTCACATCAAGTTTAGGTAAAGGTGCGCCAAAAGTGTTTGTGATACCGCTAAAAAATGGCGACTCAACATTTAGCTTGGCGGCGGCGGCGGCAAAACCCCATGGTTTGTCCTCATTTAAGTCACACATAAATAGTGCCTTTGCCTTGGGAGATTCGAGTCTCCTCTCCTGGCTTTCGTCCAACAAGGAGGAATCGCTACTCTCGCTCGAGCTATTATCCTCCTCGTCTACATCCTGCTCCTCATCGCTACTGTCGCTACCCTCAGAACTCTCGCTACTATTATTACCGGCTTCGCTACTACTGCTACTGCTGCTGCTGCTGCTATTGTTGCTAGACATTCGTGACGTTCCGACTTTCTTCGAATTCGCGGTAGCACCCCGAGTTGACCTAGCGCTAACGTTCCGCGAGGGCCTAGATTTATCACCGCCCCCCACCCGCTTCAATTTACTGTGCTCAGCGTTAAACGCACTCAATCTAAAGAACTTTTGCTTCTCCTTGGAGATCCTGTCATTCTTTTCCTCGAGCAGCCTACCCTGGCCTGCGAGTGGGGTGGGGGGTTGTGGTAAAGGAAAGGAAGTCAAAGGTGGTTGACGAGGGGGGACAACACCCGCATTACCGTCCGTGCTGCTGTCCACCTGAGCCACTCCCGTACCGCTCTTTTTGCCGGGATATGCGTTTGCCAAGCATTTTCTGGATACCATCGATCTGCAAAACAGACCATCAACAATGTATACATTAATTCCAGTATCGGTGTACAAAATCTTGCATTATTATGCAATTTACATATTTTATTCTTCGAATTTGAAAATATTATTTATAAAAGCACGTACAAAAGAGTTTATTATCGCAAATACACGCATAATCGCGCATACTTACTTTCGATTTTCGCGTAACTTGCTGAGCCTCTTCCTCACGCTCGGTGTGTCGTCGGACGAATTCGCATCCTGCGCCTTGCCCCGCTTACCATCATCCTTGTTTACCGGCGTATGCGCCGTTTGACAGTGTCGACACTTCCAGGGCATTTTATTCTTCTTATCGAGGACGGGGTCGAGACAGGCGGGATGATAACAATTCACGCAACCGGAGCATTTGACAAGGTAATTCTGCGATTCTCGTTCCAACTGACAACCGGCGCAGATCGGCGAACAGTTATCGCAGGACCAAGTTATCCCTCGATCAACAAGTATCGATAGTTCCGGGGGCGCGCAAGAATTGTGCAACGCTGCTCCACAGACGCTGCACCTGCTCAGCTTTTCGTTGCGTTTGGTGTTGTTGTTATTGCCAGCCACCGTGGCACCGAGGCACTCTTTGCATATCGGTAGCGGCGCCGGCATCTACGAAAGATAAGCAGAAAAATTGACGTAAAATAAATATTAAAAAATATATAAATAAAATATATGTATATATATATATATATATATATACATATATATATATATATATATATATTATATATATATATATATATATATATATATATATAATATCAGAATTTCTGTAAAATTTATTATATTAATATTATAGTATTATTTATAGTATTATTAATAGTATATTAATAGTACATTAATAAGAGGATATCATTACTGAAAATTTTTTAAATCATTCATATAAATTGCAAAACGATTTAAAATATTAGAAAAATAAATGATTTAAAATATTCTCTCCAAAATCTTCACACGCCAGCTGCAATTTTTGCGAATTGACGATTTAATACCGTTACGTATAGCATATACAAAAGACGAACGAGTCCTGATGCGGAACATAATTATTCATTTCGATGGCGGTATTCTTATGCATCGGAGGGGTGCATCTTATTAAGAGCGCGGGTGAGAAAGCGTTGCACTAACGATGCAACAACGGTTTCAAAGAAACGTTTTTCCTTTATTATTCTTCATGTGTTATGTATCTCAATTTCTACATGTTGAAAGATTTTTGTCTGTTTTAAAGACTTTTATCCTTTGAAGTTCTATATAAATTAAAAAATATTATAATAAACATTTTTCTAAATTATTGAGAAAATTCCAATATTGAAATTCCAATAAATTATTCATATAATACAATTTAACAAAATATAAATGTTATATAAATTGCTAAATACTAAAAAGAAATGTGATTTTTTAAAAACATTTAGGAAAAAATTCAGTAATACACTACAAATTATGGTAATTTCAACAAATAAAAAATAAAGAAAAAATATTTTACTTTTGAAGTGAATCTTTTTTTCTTAACTTAGATAAAAATTTAATTTTTTGTAAAGTTTTTAAAATTTCTTTAAATATTTAAGCATATTATTTAGTAAAAGATAGATAATTTCCTGTGTTAAAATAAAATATTTTTGTTTTAGTGAGATCCAAGACAATGATGAATTAGAGAGAAAGCATAAGAGATATGCGGGCGATCAGCCTCCGTACCAGCAGCGACCTGTTGCGCGATTGGTTGACTCGCCGTATCGCACCTTTACGCGTGTATTCGCGAATGCTTCACGCGCCAACATCGCCCATTAATTTCCTGCCATCTCCAAGTTGTGCGAGACAGACTCCGAAACAAGTCATTCTCCGAGCGATCTCTCTGCTATCGCTGTATCGCACAAATATCGATATAGTATATAATATGGTTTAATTAATTGTAAAATAATATCAAAATGAGTTTATCCAAAATTGTACGCAATCGTAATGTCTCTAATAAGATCTTAAGCTGCTTATCATAAAATTATATCTCTTTACGTTGTCTGTGTTATTATATGCTATAACATTATTAATTATATTTTGCTAAAATTTCGATACATATTTTCCAAGCTAAATAAATTAATTTAAATTATTTCAAGCTAAGTAAATTAATTTAAATATTTAAATATAAATTTTAATTTAATCATAATTTTGTAAATCACAAAAAAATTGTTTAATTTAACTTGTGAAGAATATTTCAATCTTTTAAACGATACATAGATGTCAAGAATGTATCTTCAAAATAAATTTTGCAATGTTTCTCGGATAATTAATTTCTTCATAATGGAAATACTGGGGCTTTAATAGGCAGCAAATAAAGTCTCATTTTATCAAATTAATTAGGAATCAATAATCCCGCTTTTCAGGAGGCACTTGACTCATATTATTATTGCGACTAGTTTATTTGTCTTTATGTGCTCGAGCTACATTCACGCGGGCATCACAGAATCGACCGCAATGTGGAGTCACCTACATATATAAATTTTCAAAATGGTCGTTCTCGCAAAACATTACACGGTGGGGCGATCGATCGCCCTCGCGCCCGACGATTAGCGGGAACGGCGAGGCGGGTCGCGGGATAAAAAAAAAACGCGGGAAAATGGACGCCGAGCGGACGTGGCGCGGCCAGGGGGTGTCCGGTGTCCACCACCTGATGCGCGACGGATCGGCGGACCCGCGTCGGCGCCGGGGTTCGTTCACGAGGATTTTTCGCGCTCGCCGTCCGGAGGGAGAAAGAAAGGGAGCGCGATTCCGCGGGGAAGGATCAATAAGAGGGAGACGCGAGACGCCGGAGTCGCCGGAAGTCGGCCGAGATAGCCCAGATCGTCCCGGCGATCTCGACCTTCTCTCCTCGGCCCCCCTTCCCCCTCCCCTCCTCTCCCCGTTGCCGTCCCGTCCCAGCGACCGCCAACCGACGTTCCCAACCTCGCCGGAACGTGGGCACTACAGCGTGACCTGGCGTAATATTTTTCCGGCTCTCTCGTTCTCATTTGCGCGTAGCGGCGCGTAAACCAAGCGATGCATAACGTAAGCAACGAACGCTAAGGAAACATCCTGTACGACAAATTAATAATTATATATTTTCCTCAATATTGGCCTCGTTTTAATTTTAGCACCTATGATGCAATAGACTTTTATTATTTATGTTAGGGAATCTTACGTCGCTTTCAAGGATTATAGTTTGTCGATCATTTCTTCCTGTGTTTCACGATTTAAATAATTATGCGGAGAATCAATCATTGCGAGATACTGAGTCGGGTTTACTTGGACACGAAACCGCAAAGGAATAATAATGATCGCTTCCGAATTCGCAGGAATTAATCTGATAATGAAATCTTGGCTTTCATTAATTATCTCGTAGCGATAATGTCACTCGAGTATTTAAGAATATTCGAACACTGCCGTTTTCGTAACACGCTCGAATTTAAATATCATTAATTTAACAACGCTCACGCAACTGTTTCTCGAATAGCGACAGCAAAGATAAAGACGTTGCATGTGAAAATATAAATTTGAATTAATAGACTTATTATTGAGCGTTTACTTTAAACTTTTATCATCGATTAGACTTTCGATGTTAAAAGCTTACAATTTTCTTATTTAGTTTTAACTAATATATAATACATAATACTACAAGAGCACAATTCTACCGAAAGCTTTATTAAAACTTTCAAGGTATTATACAGAGAAAAAGAATCAATCAAATCAAATTAAAATTAATATTATCCAATGTTGACAAGAATAAATCTTATCTTCTGACTAAGAGATTATATTCGTCAGAAAAGATAAGACAATACGAGGCTACAAAACTGTAATCGCGCCGATCTCCGTCGATAATTCCAACGGGTCACAGGACCCGCTTCCCAGAGTGACTCATCATCGGCTACGCGACTTATAAGCAGTTCAAGTGACTCACCTTGGGCGCGGGCGGCTCCGCGGGCGGCGCATGAGCGGCATCGGTTAACTTCTTGACGTACGGCGGCCTGTCGGGTTGTCGCAGGAGCTTGCCATCCTGGATTACCAGGTTTCGTTCCACCGCTCGCTTGGCGGACAGCCTGAGCGCGACCCTAAGATCGCCCTCGGCCTCCTCCTCGACGGTATGACTTTGCCTGATGTACTTTTCGATGTTCTTCAAGCTCGAGCCGTCGCGCTCGCCGAGCTCGCGCACAGCCTTGCCTATGACCTTGCTGATGTCCGTCGACTTGGTAACCTTGAGCGTCTTGGACTGCAAACCGCCCGGGTCCTTGTACGAGGACTGGCCCTTGTTGAAGATTTTCAGCACATCGCCGCGCTTCACGGCGACCTCCAGATGCTCGGCGATCTCCTCCTCGTGATAATTGTGATGCTGCCGTATGGCGTGGCATATTCGTTCGACGCTCGGCCGCTGTTTCTGGCTGCGGATCTTTCGAATCGCGTCCAGAAACCAGGCCGACCACGTCTCGGGCGACTCAACCTCGTCCATCGCGTCTCCGTCAGCGGCGCGAACGGCGCGGACGGCGACGACGACGACGACGAAGTCACGGCCAGTGCTTCCTCCTCCTCCTCCTGCCGATAGGCGACGTCACAATCGGCAGCGATGTTTACATCCTGCTGCGAATTCTCCGGTTTCTCAGCTTAGATGCTAGCCTTCAGCGTCTCTTCTCACGTTCTCACCGCGGGCTATTGCGCTGACCCTGAAAAGAGAGCAAATGGAATTAAAAAAATTATACGTGGAAACTTTTCCGTCGCCGGTGCTAGACCATCTTGCGGTGTGTCATTCGAGTCTGACATTTTCTAACACCGACAAAAAGTCGTTGAACTACACATATATCATGTCGATTGAATTATTCGCTATCATGTATCGGTAAAAGGTCTAATGAGATATGTATGATACGCGTGACTGTGATATATTGTATACGTATTTTTGCAGAAAATTTGATATTTAATAATACCCTACAAACTATATTTAATGCCAATTGAATCTCGCCGTATGAAATAAAGCGTTTACGCGAGTAATAGAATAATTTGATCATTTGATCATTCTCAACTTTAGACGCAGCTACGTGCTTCGAATTTTACAATATGAATTTTACAAATTACAAATTTATTCAATTCGTTCAATTGCGAGACTCCCATTTCCCATGGAACCTCGCGTTCCATTCTCGTCGGGATTAGACGTAAAGATTATCCTCGCGTGCTCGCGAGACACTCAGAGTTCGAACTCGCCAGAATTATATCCGGGATTCGGAACCCAAGATTTATTCGTCACGTCTTTGTTCGTCGTTACAAGCTAGCGTTACAACACACGCTCGATTCTTACGGTTGGGTCACGCGATTTTCGACTCCGCTTCGCGAAACGATCGTCCGCTTTTCCTCTGAGCGATGAACTTTCTCTTGTGCGCGCGAGAGATACACACCCGCAAGCAGACACGCACGTACGTACGCACGTACGTCACGCATGCGTGTCGGCGCACACACACTTCTACAGGACAAATATTTAAAATCACGTTGTATCTGACAGCGATATTGCGCAATGCGCGAGCAGCTCGCAAACGCGTATTAAGTTAGGTCGCACGTATACGTTGAAGGCGAGATCTAAGATTGCAATATCTGAATCTAATAAAATGTAAGAATCAGCTTGACGTTATATTTGTACGACGTCGAATTTGTCGAAGGTGATTGGCTATATGGCTAGAGAATTCCCGGAATTCTTATGGGGATTCGAGAAAATCTGTATCCAATAGCCAATCGGTACGTCCGACAAACTTTTCGTCGCGCGAATGTAATATTGGCCCAAGAATAGAATGGACTAGATATATCGATTGAGATTTCTGAGATAATCCTGCCAAGAAACTAAGATGTAATGTAGTGTTATACAAGGTACCCCAAATTTGGCAAGTCATCTTTCATAGATTGTTTGATTTAAAAAGTGGATTTTTTTCCTAATAAATAATCGAGGAAGAAAAACTGTCACTTGTAATTTTAAATTTTCAATATTTTCAATTTTTCGTTAATAAAATTAATTATTAAATTATTACGAAAGAAATTATTATGCAATAATTATGATAACTTAAAAATGATTAATTACTTATGCTTGAGACGTCACAAGGATCAAATATAAATTTTGCTATTTATTCTATTTAATAATTTAAAATTATTTCAACGATATACTTATTATTATTTTCCTCAAAATCCTCACATCTTAATCCTAAGATAAGACTTATAGAATAGAAGCAATATCTCAAAACAGCTATTGTAATAAAAATGTACTAAACCAACAAGGCTCTTTTCAAAGAACAAAGATTGCCAGATCCAAAAAGACACTTTCTTATATAATCTTCTAAGAACATGTTGATAAAATCACTTGTTGATAGCTGAACTTTCGGAACTGAAAAAATCGCGGCTCAAACAGAAAAGGACCCTTGTTAGCCTCGATTCTCGCGGCTGTCGTGATCGAAGCGTGAGAAACAATGCGCCCGGCATCGATCGCCTAAACACTCGCGATGGCATATGCATACACGACGCTTATTTAATGCGCGCAAGATACACGAAGTGTAATTCTCAGGTAAGCGTAACGGAGAGTTCGACCGTAGGTCGGCCGCGAGATCCATTGTTCGAGAAGAGACACAAAGACCACCCACCGTTTTCGTGCAATATCCATATCTCGTACGCAATACGCTTCGATCGCTAAAAATCGCACACACGCATTAACAAGAGATTACATTAGTTTAACAAGCATAGCAATCTGAAAAAAAATTTCTCTTCGTCATAAATGCAAATCCAAGTATAAAATTTTAGATGCAATATTTGTCATTCGGCCACTCGGAAAGTTTCTAAAATTGTAAACTAAATTGTAATATAAATTTAATTTTAATTGTAATATGTTTAATTTAAATTGTAATAATAATTTAATTTTTTCCTAACTAAAATGTCATAACTTTGAATAATAAATTATAATGATAAAATAAAATTTGATAATAAAATTTTTACGCACGTGCGATGGATAAAGATTTTAGCTCAAGTTTTTAGAGATTTCCGAGTGAGCGGCATAAATCAAACATCGGGGATAATGTCAATGGATGTGAAAGTCTCGACAGAGCAATGGTTTCCAATAGTATAATCAGGCGAGCGTAGTAAGGATTAATTATACGAGAATCGAGCGACGGCTGTGATACGAAATTGACCTAGGCCAGTGATAATAAATACGCCGGTGATTCTTCCCCTCCCCCCCTCCCCTTTCAAATGTCGTGAGAAGGGTGAAAAAAGAAAGCGTAAGACGTCCCGTAAAACCGGCTTCATTCTAAATCCTCGCCACCGAGTTTTTCTCACCACGTGTGCATTCTATTCTCGAAACTAACATCTTGCAGGAACAAGTCGACGATTTCCCGCCAAAATCTCGTTAGGCCTTTCGACATCCGGCCTTGTCGGTCATTCTCGAAACGACGAGTCGTTATAATTTATTGCTAGACTTCATAGGAATCTTTCTATGTTTCAAAGATCGCCGAACTTCGAAAACGTGTGTATGTTGACTAATCTGGAAACTCCAATGTTAATTTAAATAATATTCTTTGAAAAATTCAAGAGCGATTTTTTCAAATGTGGAAAAATATATATCTTTTTAATGCATTAAATTTAAATAAAAAAAAAATAAAGCTCGATTGTTTGAAGAATGCATACTGTAGCACGTATTTTTTTACAACGCGTTAACTCTAATCCTTTTTTCCACGACAAACGTGATTAAACACAATAATACTATAATAATAAAAAAAGATCAATTGTACGATTCATATATAATTATGACCGGAAGAATGACGCAATATGACGTAATTCGGGGATGCACTCAATCATTCGCACTTCAAGGTTTCCTCCTTCAATTAACGCTAGTTAATCTCAATCTAGTTATTTCAATTTTATCGCTCTATTTATTTGAATGTACAATTATTATAAAAGCAAAACGCGAATCATTAATTAAGATTTCAACCATTAGTCGGAATTAGAGCCTGTTTATCCGATTGTTCCACGATGCTTCTTTTTTCTACGATACACATCGCGTATACACGTGTGTACATAAAGGAGAGATCTTGGAGATTAAATACAATTTAGAAAGGAGAAACGCGGCTGAAGAATTGGAAGCCTTTCAAACGGACGGCACAAAGTGCAAAGGTTAAAAACGCATGTCAAGCAGCGAGAGAAGCGATCCTCGCGTGTTGCGCGCGGAAACGTCAATGGAACGCTGCTCGTTTATCGTCGCGGCTTTATCGTGGCTTCAATGAGAGATACCATAGTACTCGCGTCTTTACTACGTGGCGCAACTTTTAATATCTCATTGACGAGTGTCTCTTCTTTCGACTCGAGAAAGGTTTTCGCGACGACGTTGACATTTATCGTCGAGGAAAGTAACTCCAAAAACCACGTGTTTCTCCGCTACACGTGCTTCTCGAATATACCCCTAACGACGTCTAGGAGTAACGGAATTTTCCCGACAATTTCGACGAGTTTTCGAACGCGCGATGATAATCCCCATCATATTTCGCGACAGCGCGAGATACGGAAACCGGAGCGTGGAACGCCTTTCCAGTTTCGAACGTACCAAACACATTCGTCCTCACGGCTTCGAACGGGAAAATGACGCGATTCTCACGAGTATAGGCGAGTCAAGGATTAATCGTCGCGTAAAACGAGAAAGACAGACGGAGAGAGGAGAAAAGAGAGCGGAATGACACGAATGACGGGCGCGCTTTTCGCTCTCTTAATACCGTGACACGCGCGCGCGTCTTTCTCCGCTCGCTACTATCTTATTAGGCGAAATGAAATACCGGCTGAACGAACACGTCCGTCTATTTGTCCGTCGTTCGTCCGGTTAAGACGATGGGGCCGAGGGCGAAGAGAGGCCACCGGCTGCGCGTGTTTGTCGGGGCCCCTCTCACCCGACGAACGAGCGAGCGAACGAATGAACGAACGAAGGAGCGAACGAACGAGCGAACGAACGAACGAACAGGCGAGCGAGCGACGGCAATAGCAAGGTGAAGACGCGGAGAAAAACGGAGACAGACAGAGAAAGAGAAAGAGAGAGAGAGAGAGAGAGCGCGCGCGAGCGAGCGAGAGAGAGAAAGAGAGAGCGAGCCAGCTGCCGCTGCCGTCGCTCCCGAAGAGCGATTTGTCGCGAACGAGTCTAACTGCTGCCGTCCGTCGCTCGGCGAAGCGTGCACGCGCGAGAAGCGTGCATTTACACCATCGTGCGTTCGCCTCGGCGGAATGACCGAGGCGAACGCGAAAAGGTGGACGAGAAAAAGGAAAAAAGAGCGAGAAAGAAAGGCAAAAATGTACGGACGGATGGATGTACGGACGAACGGAGCAACGGGCGGGCGGACGGAGGGACAGACGGACGGGCGGGCGGACAGACGGATGGACGGGCGATCGATCGGTCGTGACGAGAACGCGAATTTGGCGCGCGCGATGGAAAATCACGGAGCGCGATAAAGGCGACGGTCGCGGGAGAAAATTCGCGCGGCTCGCCACCGCGTGTCCGCCGTCCGACGGACAGGTAGCCATTTTGAGGGGACACCGAAAATTGAGCGGGATGACCCCGTAACCGCGCCAGCCGTCCCCGACGTCGTCGTCGTCGGCGCGCCGACGACAACGACGTCGTAGCCGTTGCACGACTCCCCCCGATCCCGATGATCGTCGCCGACGGCGCCTATCCCGACGGGCCGCGAGCCACGACAGCGCGATGCCCGTCGAATGCCGTTCGCCGTGGAACGCGAAACATCCCGGATCTCGCCGCGGGGAAGCTTCGAGCGTCGACGCTGGCGGCGCGTGATCCGACGCCGAGACGGACGAGAGCGGGCGGGCTCTGTCGAGGCCCGTGCGACGGGCAGCCATCTTGGAGCGGAGACACGGGCCGCTTCACGGCTCCGTTTCGTCGCAGGCCTCCTCACGTGCCGTCCCGGGCGCGTTACGACGGCGTCGTCTCGGGGATCGCGGCGCGTCGGGGACGCGCGCGATTTTCGCCATTTTCGCTGACGCCCGCGCCTCGTCCCGCCGTCATCCGTCAAAGGGAAACGAGGAAAAAACGAGCGAATGTTATGCCGCGTCGATGTGTATGTGTACCGCGTACAAGAATGTCTCCGTCTTTTTTTCTCCTCTCCCTCGCTCGTGGTCTCGCTCTCTCTCTCTCTCTCTCTCTTTCTCTCTCGCTCTTTCTCACGCTCGCTTTTTCGAGCCAAGTGGCCGTATCGACACCGCTCTCCGGCTCCGTATGCGTCGAGCGACGACGATAACGACCCGGACGACGACTCCGACGACTCCGACGACTCCGACGACTCGGACGACGACGACTCGCGTGGTTTTTCCACGCAGCGATCTCGCAATACCCAGCGGGCGGACGTTACCTGAATACGGCAATCCCATCGATAAATCCACACAACACGACGCGGGAAACAGATCCACCGGGTATCGACGCACTGGGATACGTAATCACGATCACCAATTATCTCGCGACAACGGCGTCACATTTCACACAAATCAACAAAAGTTACCCACTTGACAAAGATGGCGGACGTGCGGGGGTTACACACTACGGCGCACACGCGGTGGGGAGCGCACTGCGCGCACTGCGCGCTCTCCGGCGGAAACACGAAACACGGAACGCCGTAGCGGCACGCATTCCCGTCGACCAATCACCGGCCCGGCGTCCCGCTCGCGCACCAACACACTCCTCTCGGGTCTAGCACACGTGCGTCATATCGGGGATCCGTCCGACGTGTCCGACTACCACGCACACGCGGAAACGGCGGGAATCTCGCTCCTGCACATGTACACGCGTATGGCATACGTACCAAATAGTGTACACTGTACGATTAAATTAGCGCGTACGTATGTATTCGTACGATCCGGGTGCGTCAGCGGTTGATACCCGCAAAATTCAACGTGCTCGCGTGTACGCACGTACGAGCGATCGCGATCTAAAGCCACGCGGAGACACCGCGAATGCGGGGCAATGACATCTATCCGAGGTGAAAAAAGTACCGTACTTCAACCCAAGCACGAGTATCGATTAAAATAAAGAAGAAGATTCGAGTATCCGATTTAGCAACGATATTTTAGTCGTGCAGCGAATATCCATTTTCTTCTCATTCTAAAGACGAAGAGTGTCGAATTAAAAAAAAAAAGAAAAAAATTCACGGAAATTTTTGACAGTTGGACAGTTGACGCACCCGATTATACATATGTTACATACATACACGTCGCTCGTTACAGGTGTCGCGCGTTACGTACACATGCATACACGTGTGCGCCCCGCGCGAGAAACAAACTTGTCGAGTGTGCGAGAGCGCGCGCGCGCGCAACTCACATACGTGATAGATATATATATATATAAATATGTAACTGCGATCGCGCGGCACCCGGCGAAGAAACGAGGCCGATCGCGAGGCGCAACGACATATACAAAGTTCGACCAGCGCCGGCCCGGCACGACTATATCGCCTTTTGCACCCGCTTTAACCGCTTCTATCCAATTGGCTTGTCGAGGCGACAGGCGTGCGCCCGACGATGCCACGTAACGCAGTTGAGAGAGCTTTGTGAACGAGATGCGTCAGGACCGTATCCTGTCGCTGGAATAAGTCGTGTCATTTTCTTTTTTTTTTCAATTACACTTTATAAAAAGGAATACGCGAAAGTAAGCGTATATGAAAATATTGAATTGTAAATACACGCAAATGTGTAGACTGCGATTGAATTAATTTGTACAGTATAGTTTTAAGATTACATTTTTTTATATTATATATTATATATTTAATATTATTTATATAATTAAGAAATGTAATTATTCCGGGAGATATCGGTAGCTCGATGATGCCTATTGTTTGCATATGACACAATATTGCGAAAGGTGCCGAATTAATTGCGTACGACACTGGCGTGCGATGAGTGACGTGCGTTACCTCTCTACCGTTTATATGTAAAACGCACGGTATATCCTATGCAGTTTCGTAATGAGATTATTGATTTTTTTTTAAGAATCGCCGTCTCTCTCCTTTCGACAACCGTTTATATCCTCCATCTTTCTCCGCTTCTCTCTCTCTCTCTCTCCCCGTCTGTTTTCGCAGGTCGATGATTCTCCGTCCCGCTCTAAACTCCGCAGTTCGGCCGCGCACGACGCACGCGTGCAACATCTCGCATAATTGAATATGCCACACTCCCGGACGATATCATCCGACCAGTGGCCGCGCGTATGCGAAGCTAACCAGCAAATTCTCCGTAATATCTACATACCCGGTGATTTTATTGATTTTCCCAACAGTATGTAAATTAGCGAGTCGCGATGTAAGTACGCGTGCGAACGGGAATTTCTGCGCAGTTTATGCATCTCAATAAATACATTTATAGCTTTGTCCAATCATCTCTAGTTTCTTATTAATACACATAATTAGTTTTAATATATAATTATATGCAGGTATAATTCTATATAATTTTACATCAATTATATTTATATACTTGCATAAATGCAATTATATATAGTACAATTATAAATTTAGTACAATTATAAATTTTTTTTCTCCTTAAAAATAAAAAAATCATTATATGTAAGCTGTTAAAATCAATTTGTTATATTTTACTACATATACAAGTAATATCAATTATATTTGTACTACAAATTTGATATAAAAGATAAGAGATTCGGATTAAAAAAACGTCAAAACGTTTATTAAGTACACATTTTCCAACTTGCTATCGAGTTGACGTTGATCAAGACTGAAAATTCGGCTTTCCCTCGTAAGTACATCCAGATCTTTGTACGATTTGCGTTGCCGCCCAAATGCCGCATTTTATACATATTTCTATACTTTTACCTTGTATAAGTTGTGCGATAAAACCTGAAACAATTTTTAACAATTAGTAATAAATATCTTTTTCTATTGTAAAGTCATATTTTATTTACTCACCTCCGACAAAAGCGTCTCCAGCACCATTGGTATCTACAACTTTCTCCTCTGGCAGTTTTATGACAGGAAATTCTGTCACTGTTCCATCTTTGGCTAAAAGCACTGGTTTAGCACCTTGCGTTAAGATAACTATCCTATTCCTCTTGTCATTGATTTTTTCCATATTTAATATCTTTAATGCAATCTGCTTCCTGTCCATTGTATCAAAATTGTTGCTCTTGGCAAATGCGTCCGCTTCCGTTTCATTACCAAATAAAATGTCCACATAGGGAAACGCAGCTAACATTGGCTTTTGAAAAAATTCGCACAGAAATGGAGCACTAAGATTCATCATGAACATTTTATTATTTTCATAAGCATGTTTAGCCACTGTTTGTATAGATTCTGGGCTAACTGTCAAAAAGAAACTCTAAAATACAAAATGTCAAATTTTATGTATGGCGTTTTATAATTATATGTACTTTTGTTCATATCAAGATATTTCTCACCGATACATAGATATAGTTTGCAATATCTATCAGGTGCTTGTTTTCTGGCTTTTCAATATGTGATAGTGAGAAACAATTTGCTGCTGCTAAATTAGCGCACAAAGAACGATCTTTTCCTGTAATAAGCACTGCACATGTCCCAGTTGGCTCTTGATCGGTATATTGATACCGAACATTTAAACCTTCCATAGTTGCTTTATCCTCTAGAATCTTTGAATATTTGTCTTTTCCAACACAGCCCATATAAGTAGCAATTTTTGGTTTTTGCAGAAACCACTGCATAACAAATACTGATTACATATCGCTTTGCAAATTTTTAATTTTGCTTCTCTTTACAAAATAAGTTGTCAACACTCGAGTAATAATTATATACAAGTACTTACTTGTGTCACTCTCATGGTATTCTGTACAGATCCACCCGCAGTAAAATCAGCTTTATACAAATTAATTAATTCTTCATATAAAGGTTTGTGTTTCTCTTCAGCAAGAATAGCATTATTAGGCTTTAGATCATACTTTTTTAAAAAATCATAATCTACAGTTGCTGAAATATCAAGAAGAGGATTTCCCATACCCAATAGTTGTCCTTCTCTGAAATAGATTATATATTAATAAAGTATAATATATTTTTATATCATATCAGTCTCTCTATATATTTTATAAAATTTTATTAATATAAAAAATTCAATGAAAAAATAATGTTATATAATTGTTCGTTTTTTAATCAACTTGATGCATAATCAATTTGATTGATAAAAATACCTGCAATATCATTAATATATAAGAACTAAATATATATATATATATATATATATATATATATTGAATATATATATTGAATATATTAAATATATATATATTGAATATATTGAATATTGAATTTCGATGTCAGTTTTTTATCAGTTTAAAATAGTCACGAATTGAACTTCGCGCGCGTATACTTGAGGTCTGTTCTTTATAGCTAAACTGGCTGCACTAGTTCAGAGGTTATCTTTTTTACTCTACATTGAAAGGAAGTTAGTTCAGTTCTAAAGAACAGACATATGATGAAATCGCGTCGATAAGAATCTGCCTTGAGGATTACATAACCTATATCCCTCGCGACACGGTCGAATTTCATCGCGAAACTAACGTGAATATTAAGTCATTAATTCCCAATTTTTAAATAAAAAGAGCACGTTTCTTGCAAATAAATATAATCATTTACTGTCGTTAAAAATAATGCGATTTTCGTTAACGGCTTCATCGAATACCACGAGCTATTCGTATCGCGACACACATAACCTTGACCAATACTTTGACACTTCCTCACAATTCTCGAGGAAAAAATATATTTGCATTCTCATATCTCGATTATCACGATAACAGATTGCGAGAGAAGAAAATAAGGACACATAACTGTGCGAAGAGATATTTCATTTACCGTAAGTCCTTGGCCATTGTGCAGTGCTTATATCTTCGAGGCAACGGGCCGAGATGCACCAAGGATGGTCTGCTGTAATGAGTTGCAAAGGCGCGCCACCGACGCTTTCTTCGGAATGAGACATCCAATAGTAACGATTTGGTTACACACGTTTACTAAAAGAAAAGACACTTCACTTCATCTTTGACATATGTTATCGCTAATGACACGCGGCGATAACTTGTCGGCAGAGATAGAGACGATATTACAACAGAAGATTACGACACACACACACATTAATGCGTATCATTTAAATGATCTAAATATATGCTAATTTCCAACTTGACAATACTCGACAATATTCACGGGAATATTATTCCTTACTTATATAATGCTAATTGCAATGTAAATATAATGTAAATCGTATTCCGCGAGCACGTACATTTCAATAGAACTAATCTTTAGCTATTTTGTATCTTTTATATTTAAAATGATGCATTCAGTATACGTGTTCAGTCTTGGAAAAAAGATGTGTATCGACTAAATAGAAATAAAAAAATAAATTATTTAAATATGTAAGATAATTTATATTTTAACATTACAAATATACTTTTTATCAAATACGAATAAAGATTCAAATTTAAACGAAAGAATTTCCATTCTTTATCTCTTTTCATATCTTAATATTTTATATAAAGCGTACATAAAGCATACATAAAGCACACAAAATTATACGATATTAATAAATTGTATTTAAAGAGAATCGATTAGCTCTCATGGAATTAAATAAAATCTTTATTGCTCAATGACATGACAAATATATTTTCCGCTCGCGACTAATCTCCGAAATTTTTTATGTTATCAAAAAATGTATGTGTGTGTGTGCAATGATATCTTGTATACCCGATAATTTACTCACAATGTTATTTCTTTGTAATCATTTTACAACTGAACAATAAAGAGCTTTAAAATCTTATCTATGAAGCATTACTTACCATCGTGTACTTATGTATTTTTATATTTGTGTACGTGTGATAACTACTACTACTACTACTAATAATAAAATATCAAAAACGAAAATATCAAGCAAATTGTCGTTTTTAAGAAACATATGTAAATTCCTTTCTCTATCTATAAATTTATCTTAAGTGTGTACTTTACATGGAAATAAATCAATCTTCTGCATATTGCACTATCTGTACTTGATACAGTATAAATTAATAAATATGATCCCGAAGAGACTTTTCAATCTATAAATTAATAAATAACTTTGAAACTTGATCAACTATCGGAAGGGGATGCTTGCGCTGGAAAAATATAGGATTATACAGACAGAAATTATAACATTTTAATCTTAGCAAAAAGATTGAAGAAAAATGTACACACATAAACACGATTGATATTATCGCGATAATTATAATTATAATAAATAATATAATCGTGTTATCATTTATTAAGAGTTTTATATCGAATGTTCGTTATTCTCCTCCGGATTTTACAGAGATCATTATAGGCAGCGCGAGGAAAATATTCGTTCTTACGATACCTTCGTGCTCCTGCCAAGCAGAGATACTTTTGCTCTAGGACGAGATTCGACTTGTGAGCACACTGTAGCACATATCAATCTCTCAGTTTTGTCCCTCGCTTTATAGAAGATTCTCCTCGCATCTCGCGGAAATGAGCTCTCCCCTAAATAGTGCCGCTTCTCCTAAGAAAGAAAACATGAGACTCTCAAAGATGTTCAGATGGAACACGGGGAATTAACGTCTATTTATTTTTTCCCTTTTTTTTTCGCTTTTTTTTTAACGCATATCGGAACGATACCGGAGGCTATGTAGGGGTGGACTTGCCTGGGATGCAGCAATACAGCCTCGTCTTTATCCAGGCGGGATCTCATTCCCTCTCCGTGTCTCTGTTTCTCTCGCGGTGTCTTTCAATGTGATACAGAGTGCTAAACAATTACCTCTCGAGACACCATGTCGCTTCTCCGTCAGACCTCTCTCGCCGCTTCTATTCTCGAAGCTCTCGTCTCTCGAGCCTGGCTCATTCTCAGCTCCTTCGAAGTACGTTGTGGACGTTGCCGGTGTAGAGGGCTATCATCGCGTCCTATATCATATATCATATTATAATACAGCATGTTACAATCCCTGCCGGCGCGGTTCTATCGGTTTTGCGCTTTTTTTGTCGTAATGCGACAACCGACGACGACCGACACGTAAGTGTGTTCGTTTTTTTTTTTTATCACGCGAGATCAAGGGATAACCCGTGTCCCGACGTGTCCGTTTACATATTTTTCTCGGGTTCTTGCGCCAACCGTGTCTCTCTTAAAAATCCGTGCACGGATCCGATCGGTGATTCAACGGTCTCTAGTGAGAACTCTGTCGAGGGATCGGGTGCTTTTTTTCTAAGTGCCTGCGAGGGTCTGTGCCGGCGTATCCGAGAGATATATCTCAACGATATATCCCAGCTACAAGAGACTGGATTCGGAACTTCTCATCTCGTCGAGCTTCTCGGCCAGCGTGTGTCCCGAACCGTTTGCAACTCGAGCTGCGTGATTTTATAGACGACGAGGACGACGACGATGACAACGATGACGACGACGATGATAAAGTTGACGACGACGACGACGACGACGACGACGACGACGACGACGACGACGACGACGACGACGACGACGACGGCGGCGGCGGCGACGATGACGACGACGACGAGACGAAGACGATGGCGACGACGAACCGCCGGAATCTCGCATGTCCACGTATGGACTTACGTATAGAGCAAGGACTGCAACCATCGGACAGACCTTCGCTATCCGATGATCAAGTCCGGCACCGATGTTACCGTAATCCTCGAGTGTCCTTGCATTACAGCTGATACATCGCGAATATATCCGACGAAGCTCTCCGATGTGCATGAGTTTCCATGTGTTCCCGAATCTTTATTTTCCCGCACGACGTGTGTGTGATTCTCGCACGCGTGTATTATTATACGCGCGTGATTCAATATCGCACATTTTCCCTGCAATCTGTATCCGCAACGAGCCTCGGGTCATTCGCCAAGTCTACGTATCGTGGATCGGGGGTTGATCTGAGCAGTATCTTCTAGATAGAAGGGAATATTCCTCAAAGAGAATATTCAAAAAAAGTTAAAAAAAAGAGAAAAAGGGATTTTAATATATAAAACAAGATTGTCTCAAAACCAGTTCTATATGATAAATTTATGAGAAGAGAGCTTCATCACTTATATCATTATTTTTTTTATTTAAATGTATAAAAAATTTAATTTTTTCAAGTTTTCAAGCAAATATGAATTAGAGTGTTTAATAAGATTCTCAAATCTTGAATTAAAGGATTTTGCTTGGTTCTGAGGCACCTTTTTATATGTTCTCGTTGATGATCGTGCGCCCGGGGGTTTCCCGATTTTGGCGAAAAGTTTCCGTGCATACGATGAAGCCAAAGTTAACGCGGCATCGACGCATCGCTCGTTATGCACCGATCAAACTCGCAACTCTTGCGCAACAGAGCCGACGGGAGAAGGTCCGACCTCCTCTCTCGCGTCAACTTCGAATACGCAGATCGGCCGATCTTTCTCGATTCGGAATAGTCTACTTATTATCGGACAGGAGTCTGCTCACCACATCTCAGTATGGAGAGATGACTGAGTAGTGCGCCTGGTTCTACACGTTCGTGTTCCAACGTCACTCTGACACGAGGCTTGCTCGGTTATTTCTGAAGACACTGCACGGTGTCTCTTAAAGTAACTTTCTTGGGGAATTCACACTTTGGCTGTGACTGTGGCGCGATAGACGTTACAGAACGTGGCCGGGCGCCTCTGCCTGCCGTTGGTCGGGTAGAAAAGCGAGTCTCCTCAGCCGAGTCCGATTCTGTAGACCTGCTCAACCTCCGAGAGTCTGCAAGTTTGACTGGCACATAACAATAAGCATTACCATGTACATATACTGATAAAAATCAGATTAAAAGAGATACAACAAAAGAAACATTTACTCCGTCATCTTTTGACATTTACTTCCGTCTTCGTCTGTGATATTTCTGAAAATAGCAATACTTTAACTTTGGCTTTAATCAAAAGTTTATGCAAGTGAACGATAACCACGCTACCTTATAAAGAAATGTAATTGCGATGGAAAAGAATAGTAGAAATCTTTTCTTGTATTTATAAAATAAAGACAACTTAATAATCGAGAAGAAGGAAGAAAAACGATGCAATCTTAAAATTATATCAGATTCACTTATATTATCATATATAGCGTCTTAATATTTAAATTTGTCAATTTTTAAGATTAGTCGGAAGGTTTTTCTTATTCTTCTCAAGTTTTAATCTACAAACGATACAATCGCTTTCGACCAAACTCAGCTTAGTTCGAGAGAGCCAGCCGAGGGGAGGATGAATTCTCAATCACAATTTAAGGATTTAATCGTTCGCACGTTTTTTAAGGTTTTTAAGGTTTATTAAAAAAGAACTTGCAAAAAACACACGTAAAATGATGCATCAGACATATAAAACAGGATCTCATCTCGTATATTAAGGCGAGGATGGATATATAACAGGCTTATTGGAATCCGATATCTTTTCATACCAATATTTTCCCGTTTTATACACACATATATAGAGAGAGAATTAATATTCCATGTCCGTGTATGCGTGATGAAGCGACTTATTCGCGCTATATGTTAGCTCGTGTGCAACCACCTCATCCGCAGTGCCAATTGTTCTGAAAACATCAGTTATACAACGAACGATTTTATTTCATTCTCATTGATGAGTGAATCTCGTTATGATAGCCTTTATTTCTTTAAAACGGCGAAAAGATAATAGAGGAAATCAGGGATCGAAATCGTTATAATCTTGACGAGATTTCAACTTTTTCCTATATCATAGATACGATAACGCACCTTACAATCAACAATCATTTCTACAACATCGAAATCTAAACTTTAACGAAACTATAACGCGTTACAATCCCTGTTCTTTGATTGAGGCTGACACAAGAAATTACGAGACAGAAAAGAAAGGAGAGAAGCAGACTCGTCGAATATAAGAAATATACTAAAGTCTGAAGTTATGACCATCTTAAAAATGGAAAAAAAAAATAAAAAGAATCGACAGCGATATATCAGTGTAAGCATATTGCTCAACTAATGTTCGAGACGGATAGGGCGGATGGTTCACGATTAGAAGTAGCGAGCAGACACATGACAGATCATGTAAAGATTCTTTGAAGAATTTTGTGAGAAAGATTCGAATTACAAAAGTCTTTCTGTGTGCTTTAAGACTGATTTCAAAGAGTTAACCAAGAGAATCCGAAGGAAAGGATTGCGTTGCTAATTTCCCAAAGTTTTTTGTTGTCAATTTAAGATAACGTGTGCTAAAAATGTTGAGTTGTTCCGAAACCGAATATCCTTTCAACTATGTAAATACAAGCTAAGAAAAATATACAAATTTTGTTTTCAATTTTAATTTAAGAATTTCAATAATTTATATGATTAATTTCTAAATTATTGATATATTTGATATTTAAAAGAGAAGACATTAAAAATTAATATTAATAAAAAAATATTAATAAAATAATGTTTTATAAAATTTTCGCTGTGTTAAAATCAATCTTCCAAATCTGTCACTAAATCTGTATGGCTAGTGAGATTTTAGTAATTTTGGAATTTTTTATATTTATATATGCATCATAAAATACTACAATCCTTTTGCATCAAATATGTATCGCGCAACAAATTTAAATTTCTCACTAACATTCATCATATGAAAGTATCAGAAACAAAATCCAGCGACGATTAATGGCACAATAAATTGCACAATTACGTACTCAGCAAGCGCAAAATATGTGTTTGCATTTTCCCCACCCCATCGAGAATAAAATGTTTGCGGAAATAAAAGGTAGGATAAGATTTCAACAGGAAATTGATGACAGAATCGAGAAAAAAAAACAATTGTTCAAACAGGACCGTGCACATATAAATGTGAAATAGTCCTTGACATTTCGAAAGCTACTAATTTCCAACGTGACACAGTGCAACATCTTAAGAAGGATACTTGATGATCCAATTTATCGAAGATTAGATAACGATCAATTTGATGAATCCATTTATTGATATCAATAATTAAATCAATGTTAGAAAAGGATCAATAATTAAATTAATGTTCGAAAAAGAGAGATTGCACTGTATCGCAATTAAATAAAAATATAGAAATTGTTCGAGTTGTTCGATGAAAAACATCGCAGAACTCTAGCTGTAATCGAACATCAGACTTGGAGTTTCCGAGACGCGCGCGCACAAGGATGGCAACAGAGAGAGTAACACGAGCGAATAATGCCGTGCGCGTTTCGGATCGAGATGTTGACGGAATTTTTGTTGAGCGAGCGCGAGACGGAAACGCGCGCGCGACGCAGGAAGCCAGCGCGCGTCCGATCGTACCCGATCAAAACTTTCGTGATGGAAAGGGGCGACGGGTTTTTATCGGGATGGTAGTTGCAAGGGGTACATCGCGAGACAGAGAAAGAAAGAGAGAGATAGATAGAGAAAGAGAGAGAAAGAGCGGTCGGTGTGATGTAATTAAAGAACGCAGTACACGTCGTTTTTTTGTGAATTTCACAAATACATTGTTATTACATATTTCTTATATCCAGTATCATTATTATTATTATTTGCATTATCGTGGTTATAATTTATATAATCTTCAATGAAAAAAAACACGGTCGTATTTCAGCAAAAAAACCAAAAGGCGTAGATGGGAGAATAGAAGAAAAAAAAAAGACTTACAGCAAGTGTCTACGCTCAAAAAAAGAAACGAAAGTGCGATTATTACAAACTACAACACGTCTTTTTTTTATATGTTGGAGTTTAATCCTACGTTAATAAAAAGATTACGTTACGTTACTATATGCTAACGATAATGTTCGGCCATTCAGGTTTCCCATACAGAATCGGCGCATCCTACCGGGTCTAATGTAAGTCCAATTATATATAATTCTTTTTCTCTTTTTTTTTTTGCGATAAAAGCGGGAAACGGTATTGTGGAAATCGGTTTTCTCCTTTTAACAATCGAGAACCTGCACGCTTACCCCCTCCCATTTGGGGAAAGATTTTGGTGTGAACGCTTTCTCTTTTTTTTTTTTCTCAAGCACAGCCTACGTCTTCTCGATACTCTTTCACGAGCATGTTAAAAACACGTAAGATTACTAATTTACGCTCTATACAAAAGTATCTGTCAAAAATAATGGAATATTACTTATCGGAGCGACATGTGTACAACAATCGTTTCGGAAGATGAGGCCTGCTCTCAGATTTAACGATGTTTCAAAATTCGCCGATTTCAAAACTCTAAATATACAATCGCTCGCTCGAAGAATATTATTCCGCAATTTTTTTCTCTTGTTTAAGAACCGCGTCGCGGCTTTTCGCTGATGGATCTACTTGAATCATAAAAAAATAGAAATTTGATCGAGATTCGCGAGGCGGCCAATTGACAAGATCATTAATTTTAAAGCGAGCAAAAGCTTATGGCGCATATCTAGTACAATTCATCATGTTTTCTCTACGATATATTTAAGATGATAATATTCGTAGTCATTTCTTGAATAAAAATTTACTTATGCATGCTGCATCAGAAATTCTTACTTATAATATACATAAGCATAAATAAGATTCTCTTATTATAATGTATAAATAAGATATCCTTTATTTACACGCATAAATTCACTTTTCAAGAAATAATTATGAATATCTCCCTTAGAGCATCCTTCAACATCGTTGCACGAATGTTCGCGCTACTCCCGGCGAAGAGGAGGAAAAGTTTCATACACATATTTATTTGATACGCAATAAATAAGAATCGACGGGAATTCCGCGAACAATGCTTTTCGATCAGGACGTTTTTTGCTCTAGCTCTATTGCGCGGAGAGAGAGAGAGAGAAAGAGAGAGATGATCGGCATAATATCGAATAAGATAGATCTAGCAATGTTAAATTACGCTGTGCCTGTGATCGTGTCGATTGCTAATCGTTCAGCAACTTTTGCGACGCGTACGCGCGCGACAAGAAGCTATCGATTGCGGCGCAGCGGAGGAAAACAGGCCAAGAAAGGTGATTATCGTGTCATCGTTAAAGAAAAACCGAAACGATCGCCGCAGAATACGACCCCACCGGAATGCTCGTCGATCCCATATCTTCCCCCCCCTAAAATTAAACGTGTAAATTTACGCCCCAAAATCTATTGCTTTCCCGAAAAGTGAGAGATGAGAAACGTCCGTTAAAAAATACTTATCCAGAAACTTTACAGAATCAAGGATCGAGGAGTCTCCGCGGTGGAGGAGCTACATCGAGTTCTTAATGTCGAGGATCACTTTAATTGCGGTTTTATACAAATGCATGACGTAGAGGGAGGGGTGCGGGGGCCTAAAGAGACAACAAGATAATAGTTGACAACAAGAGAGGTACGAAAGGATCGATAAGCCGGGAGTCTCGGAGAGATACGAGGGATTCGTCGGTCGGGGGCGGGGGGAGTGTGGGGGGAGGAGATAATTCGGATGATATTTCCTATTTTTGTCTCTGCTACTTTGGACTGGTTTTTATTTCGTTTAGCTCTCTACTTTTGCCTCCGTGTTTTTTTTTTGTTTTACGCCTAAATAAATCGCACTGCGGGTAACACTTGTTCTCATAGAGCGGGCGGCAGATCTTCACGCGTGCAGTTCGCAAGACGGCCAAGAGTATCTCGGTTCCGAGGCTTCCTGCTAGCGACAGACAGACCCGACGGACCGACGGCGACCGACAGAGACCGATCCGAGCCCGACGCGACGATTTAGTATGGTGCGAACCGGCGCGACGGCGATGGCCCTCGTAATCCCGGTCTGGTAATCAAAATTAAGCCACGTCAGTCACACGAGATCGATGATACGGGTTAAAGCACGGACAAATATAGATTGAAAAATGTAAAAGGCTGTAATATATTTGCGTGGTACGAGAGAAAACAGAGAGAGATGGAGAAATATGTAACAGAGCGTAATAGTATATAATGTAGTAGAGTGAAAAATTAGGGTGAACAGTATACATGAGATTAAAAAAAAAAGATTTTTAAAAAAGTAAAAAAAATTAAGAAAAAAAAAAGAGAAAAGGGAAGTGGATATACAGTAGCTCGAAAAGTACCTCGTTTTTCTCGCTAACTTTTTTTTACTAATTCTTTCGTTTTGCGATGATGAGAATATTACCGCGGATTAAATATTTTTTTCTTCATTTCTCGAGCACTCTTCTTTTTTGAAAGATCGCATTACGGGGAAATATTCTTTATTCGTTTACTTTGTTCTAATGGGGCAAAGCAACATTTCCATTAGATGTATTTTCAATAATTTTAATCAAATCTTTTGCTTCTACCATTAATTACGATATGTCAAATAGAAGAATAGCGTGTGTTCGATAATTCTTTTCAAGCTAAAAAATAAACAAAGACACTATCTTGATACGATCTTAACATAAAGAAGAGAGCGTTTGATTGTTAGATCTACATCGCGGTTTAGAGAAACGGGATTTTAATTCGGGCGTAATATTGTAACCCAGTGGCACTTCACTCTACTTACCTACGCTCTTCAAACGAATCTCGGCTGAAGTCCTCGTACATGCCTCTACTATAACAGCGGTATAATAAATAATCGAATCTACTTATGAGATCAGATCAACATATACCATATACTGGCTCCCTTGTCCAAGGCTTAACTTTGTGAATTAGTCCCTGTATATATGTACATATACATATGTATGTATTCTCACGTGCAAAGGAAAGAGTCGCGTGCCTCGCCTAATATGACTTTGGATTGGGATGGAATGTCGAAGAACTGTACACAGATCATTGGCAAATCTGGCATGAAAAATTTCCTATTCCTCTACTACATTAACATATACGCGCATTTGATTAATATATATGTGTATGTGTGTAAAGGGGAGATCTTGAGTGTTTAAGATTGAAAAGTCTGATGAGACGATTAGATATCATTTGTAAGGATTAGAGTACCAAAATGCAAGATGTTTAAAGCTACAAAACCTGCGAAAGTGAAAGACAAGCAATTATAGTAATTCGCTATCTGCTATCTGTACAACTCATTGGCTTGACTGAGTTTGAGAAACTTTGTCAATGTAAAAGGGAGAGGCTAATATGGATAGAACATGGGATATAGATAGTCATATGAGGCAGACAGCGGTAGACTGGATTTTTAACCCATGCGATTTGCAAATTACAATTTCGCAAAAACAACAAGAATGTATTATTAACAAATAAGAGCCATTTGCAGCCCAGGCTGGGATCGTATAAGGGTAATAAGGTGGTAACGTGCAACAACAAATTCAAAGTATTTAGAAAAACTGAGAAATTCAATCTCAATTCTGTTTTCTATTTGAATGTTGCGAATGGATTTACATACATGAAAAGCTTTGAACCTCGTGAGTAGAAGTCAGCTTCAAGAACTATGGATTGTAATTTCGAGAAGCACGGAGGACGAAATTGGAATATCTTCGCGACGCTCTAATTATTCTTTACGTTCGCAATTTCTCTCCGATTAAAAATAAGTGGCAATTTTAGAAATATTATGAAATTTGAAATATAACTCGAGGATTGATATAATTGATACATATGAGAATTTTGCTCCTTTATTTAATGTAATTATAGCACGATTATGAAATAACAAAATGAAAAGAAAGATCATTACATAGGTTAAGATAAGAAAACTAAATTTTAATTATATTTATGACTGAGAAACTGAGTAAACCGTACGAGGCCAAAAAATACACAACTTTTCATCATTTTACATGAAAGAAAAAAAAAAGAAAAAAAACAAGAAAGAGATAGAAAAAAAATTTATTTAATTTGAAAATACTTTGTGTGTTAACATCACATTTATGCGAATTGTTCGTTGTAATATTTTATTATTAGACAGAATCTCATTACACACGACTCAACAAGTCAAAGAAATAATTTTTGCGCAAAAAAAATTAAATAAAGTAAGAATCGTATTTTATAAAATTCGTAAGCTTGCGGAACTGGTTCAGAAAGATTACGGGAGATGCCGATATATGTATAGACTTACTGGTCCAAATCGTCTGGAGAGCTGGTTTCTACTTACGACACGTTTCAAAGACAATCGATTCGATGCGCCATTCCAAAATCGCGTCGGCCCTGTTTCTTTTTCTTTCTATCTACAGCGTATGACACAGTTTGGTTTAAAATTGCAGATCGCATCCTGGTTCGCGGTAGTGCGATCAAGAAATTCTAGTTCGTATTCCTTAGGAACGGTTCTTCATCCCAGGCCTCCGCGCCACTCCCGGCTGAGTGATGTACGTAATAAGGAGCGCTTGAAACACAAAGGATGTTCAGTGAGAGACATACAGGCCAATCCCGCAGTTAATGCCATGGAACAAGAGAGTCTATGAACTAGGACATCCCTAGAAGAGCAGTCGACATGTTCAAGGCACAATCAGTCGAGACCCGAAAAGTTTCGAACTACCATGGGACGCAGACGACGTATAGGCGACTGCTACATATTTCAACGACGCGACTGTTTGTTGTTACAGCGACAAGAACGAGGCGTGACTACTCGCTAACAAAATGAGTCAAAGACTTACTCTTGTACGACTTGAACGCTGACCCGGGACTGTCTCTCTAGGGTTGCCCGCGTTCATGGACAAAGATGGTACGCCTGAGGTGCACTGAAATTTAGAATGTACAGAAACGTCCAAGCGTCATATAATTAACATTTCACTACGATGGAGTCTGCACTGTGGGCGTTGGGTCGACACTCGTACGTGTGCAAAAAAATAGTAAGTCTTAAAATCTCAAGTACGAGAAAGTAATATCTTGCATAGACGATAACGAGTCATGCGTTGTGTCGCGCAGTAATATTGTCGGAGAGAAGGAGTTCCATTTCCGCGTCTTACGATAAAAAAGTAAGACAAAAAAAGAGAGAAAAGAGGTACTAAAGAGAATTTATACATTCTAAAGAAAAAGGGCGGAAAAAGTTGAGGTTTATATAACAAGATAGGCATTGTGGAACATTGCAAATCTCGCGATCGCCTATCCAGACTTAATATTCGTTACTATGTGGGATAAAAAAGAGAAATAAGGAGAGATAGACTAAGGATATATAAAGTCGAAATATATATATATATATATATATATATATATATATATATATATATATGTGACAAGAATACGACAGATTAGAAAAAAATGTCGACGAATCACCGAACCCCAATTCGCATGAGCTGTTAATCCAGCCTGGAACGTTCACAATGTTAAGTCGGACGAATGGGCCTCGATACGCCGGATACCTACTCACCTGAACCGGCCGTTGTTGCCACTTGGAGGGGGCGATCGGCGGCTGAACATGCCATACTCGTTACCACGGGAGAAGCCAGTGTCACGCATGGATCCCATACCTAGAGGAGGCATAGGAGGCATTGGGTCTCGTCTTGGTGGTAGAGGCATTGGTGGAAAGTCTAGCCCGCACATGGAACTTCCCATGTCACAGGGCCCTGTCATACCCGTAAACCGCCTCTCGTAGAGATCCCTGGTGTCCTCGAAGCCCCGCCGGTCGTAGTAGCTTTCGTAGTCCTATTAAACAAACAAGATTCGAGAAATTAATTAAGCGAAAATCATTACCACAAATGAAAATATCGATAAGGCAAATGATTCGAATATTTCGCTAAATACGATAAATATGTGAAATTTGACGAGAAGGGAAACTTACTCCAAAGCGGCCACCACCCATGAGACGGTCCCGAAGGAAAGGTGGCGGTGGCGGTGGAGGATACGGGTCGCGTCCAAACATTCGATCTCTGTATCCATTTCTGTCTGGCCCACCTCCCATACCTCCCTTGGGACACTCTTTGGACCAGTGACCGCCTCGTCCACATCGATAGCATTGTTCCGGATCACCCATTCCTGGCCTCTGTCGCACCCGGCTGGTAGATATCTGGACCTTCATCGGCTGCCCGTCCACGATCTGCCCGTTCAACTCCTTGATGGCATCATTCACGTCGCCCGTCGCTTCAAGATGGACGAAACCGTAGTTCCTTACAATGTCGCATTCCACGACCGTGCCATATTTGGCAAACAGTTCGCGCACTTGCGGCGCCTTCGTGTTATCTGTGAGATTGCCGACAAAGATCTTTGTCGTAGGAGTGTTGGGACCCTTACGACTCTTTGCGGCCTCGCACTTTATCGGCTGTCCATGGACCATATGTCCATTCAGATTCTGTATGGCGTTTCTCCCTGCTTCCTCATTTTCCATATGCTGCGAATAAAATATGTAATTTCATTATCGATATTCCGTTAATCATATTATCGTCTAATTCTTCTTAATCGGAATGCTGATTCAATCGATACAACACTTACCACAAAGCCATAATTCTTTACCACGTCGCATTCCACGACCTTGCCGTATTTCTCGAACAGTGGCTTTATATCCGCGTTCGAGGTCTTGTCGGCTAAATTACCAATGAAGATTTTAAACGTACCAACGCTGCTAAAACCCGGCATTTTGCGGCTCGTAGAACCTAATGTCACAAAAATGTATATTTAGTATAGAAATACTTTTTATTTTCCCTTCTACCATTTATTTTTGACACGACTGAATTTTTAAATGCACTTTGCATCTTTTTATAATTATCGTGTTTCTTTCTTACATATTTATCAAAAGATTATTCGCAGCAAAATAAATTCCTAATTCGACTTTTAATTATAAAAGTAACAAGAAATGTAAAATTATTGAAATTTTAGAAATATAAATAGAGATATAGTATATATAGATATAAATTTATATATCTAAAATTTAGATTACTTATTTATATAAATTTTAGAAATATAATATATAGAGATATAAATTATAGTGAAAATCCTTTTTCAGTAATTCCAACAGATGAAGGAATCAAAAATGGTCGAAAAAATTACAGAAACTTGTACGTCTTTTACGAGCAAGGAAAGATATCGGAGCAGCCGATGGTCAAGATTATCTCACTTGTTAGACAGGTATATACTCTGCCATCGAATCACATTTTCGTTATCTCACATATCCGATATTTTTCTGCTCACCTATACATCCTATTACTGTATGTAATCTTCAATTATTTATTTGCACAATATACTTCCGATATATATAGCGTGATATCAGACACACATACACACGCACACGCATACAATCCATCTTATTTCATCCCCACCATATTTATTCCGCCATGGATTTCTGCGAACGGTCAGATACTCGCGCCGCATAGCGTTACGTCGTCTAAACACGGTATCGAAGCCGGTATAATATCGGCAGGTATGAATTCCGATGCTATAAACATACGAAGGTTTACAAGATTCCTATTTATAAAATTTATTCGCGACATTGAGAGAGATCGTAATTATGTTAAAGCGAAAACCAGCGAGAGCAATCGTAAGCTACACAACAAACTAGCTACAAACTCCATTTAATCGCGTTATACCTCGCTCGTCAAGGTTATCCAAAATTGCAAAAAATAATTTTTTTTCTCCAATACATTCCGATCGCCGTAATTCCTCCGATATATTCTACCGCTCGCTCGATGATGCAATCTGTAGTGACGGGGCGTTCTTGCGAGAAAAAGAAATCCAAGAGGCGACCGACGCGAGCTCGATCCTGACGCTTTCCCGCCTCCATCTTGCCGAGATCTCGTACGCGCGACCCGCTGGCGAATAACCAATTTATGCAAAAATTATGTAAAAAAAGAAACGCGTTCCCCTGGCTCCCTATTCCAACCCAAATCGCGTATTACTCGAGGTACCAGCCCTCGGCTCTGTATCTTGTACTCGTCCTCGTGAGCGGACGCACGCTCGTGAACGCACGACTGCGTAGGATTTTCCGCACCGCACCCGGCGCGGCGAAGGTGCATACATACCTGCGATCAGATGTTCCTGATACTGAATCTGCAGCGAGCGACACGCTCGATCAAGAAGCTGGGAGCGAAACTCGGAGTCGGATCGCGCGCACAACGGTTTTCGCGGAAACACAAACGAGACTCGTGCCGGTCGTGCTCGAACGACACGCAACGGAATCTAGCAATGGCGGCGTCTCGCTCGCTCGCTGCGTCGTTGGGGTCGCGTCGCGCGTTCCCCAACCCGTCGCGCGCGCGCCCGGCGACGGCAGCGCCGCCGGTTGCCAACCAATCGGAAGCCGCGCCAGGCGAGCGCGGGAGAATCTCAACGTCTGCGCCCTACCATCTTCCTGAATTACTCAATCGCGTTCCCTTCTGCGCGTTAAACGGAGCGGGAAGGTGCCAATACATATATGTATACCGATTATTACGCGTCGCTTTTTCTTGCATGATTGCATGCATAATATGATGAAATATAGATACGCATATAGCGTGGATGGTTATGCGGACTTTGTATTGATACACTGTCGATTTTGTAGTCTTTAATACTTCTAAATATTTTTAAATTATCGTGAATTGATTAGATATATTTGATTAGATATATGCTAATTTTAGCTTGATGACGAAACAAAATAAATGTCAATATAATATTGTACAATGACAAGATTTCTATTGAATTTCGTGAATATGAAGTATGTTGGAATGGGTTCATTCATGCTAGTATTTTGATAGGATATTTTTAGAAATAACGTCAGAGTATGACGGTGCGCTTTGTTTGTTTCCTCTACGCCAAATTTTTAAAAGTCGATACAAAGTCATGCTAAACAATACGTTATTTATTTTCCTTTTTAAATAATTAAAGAAATAAACAATTTGCAATGGTTAATCACACATATTTAACTCGGCCGATTATTTAAACAAAGCACGTATGTCGAGTAATAGCTGTTGGTAGTCGGCTAAATCGTTAACTACGCGGAATTTGCAAAAGAATACGTAATAATTGGAATCTTGCCAGAGATGTGCATTATGCAGCATGTTATATCAACAACTTTGTCATAAGAGATGTAAAAATAAAAAAAAATATATATATGCATAAAAGTGGCGTCGATCGCTTTTATATATTGTCAGCGAGATTCCAAGATTCTCCAACGTTACTGATCGTTTCGGATACTTTCGAGTCGCGAGACACTAGTCGGCGCGTGGAAAATTACCGCAATGGAGAATGTGCGACGCGAGTGCGACGAGGACGGAAAACATTCGTGGAAATGGAAGCGTCACTTCGCCCATCGATAAGGTTTCATCCGACCGACATGACAGATATGCAACCGGCGTAGTCAACATCGAGTTTCGGGGAACTCGACATCGTGGGAAAAAAGAATCTCTACGCGTACTTTCGTGAGAGACGTGATTGTCGTGAGAAAAGAAGAAAAAAAACCGCATCGGAAATAAACTCGATGAAATTGCACTGGTGCATTTTTAATCAACGAAACCCGACTCGAGGAGGAATAGATTAGAGCTCGTGCTGACCCGTCAAAATTTACAGCTCATCACTGACGTCGCGGAAGCGATGTCTTTGTACTTTGCACGACCGGCTAATCCGAGCCGGGATCGAACCGAATGGAATGTCGAGCTGCCCGCTCGAGATAGCGTGTCTCGCGAGCCGAGCGGCTGCTTGCACAATTAAGCGCCCTATAATCCTAGCACAACGATATAAGAATAGCTAATGTACTCACCAAGTCAGTAGTCGATAAAACCGCTAAAACTGCTAAAACTGCTAAAACAGCGTGATACACACGCGATACGACGCGAACCGCACGTTTCTGAGGTAAAAGATGGCGAAACGGAAGTGTGCAGCGACGCGAAAGGACGTTCACGTTAATTCGATGTTTCCTGTACTGCGTCTACCGCTGCCAACCTAATCCCTCTCAGCTGGCCGTAGACGATAGATGGAACAGAGAGACTTCTCAGGTCCGAATTCATAGTCGTCTCTCAAATCTTAAGACTAGAGAATTTCTTAAATCTATCGTAATACGACCATTTCATTGGTTGAGCTATCCTATTCAACCAATGAAATGAATAGGATAGCTCAACCAATGAAATGGTCGCATTAGGATAGATTTAAGAAATTTTCTAGTTTTAAGATTTGAGAAACGACTATGAATTCGGATCTCAATCAATCCATAAGGACGCTAATCAATTTATATGACAAGTTTTGCGTTTAGCTTCTACTGCAAAAAAATTGCGGAGAAACTCTAGAAACTCTGGTTGTATGATAATTATGTTCCTACTGGAAGATTAAGTCCCGATCTACAATAGATAATTTAAGCCCTAAGCCTTAAGAAATTGACCAATCATAGCCGAGTATTCTCTTCATACTTGACTATGATTGGTCAATCTCTTAAAGCTTAAGGCTTAAATTATTGTAGATCCGGCTTTACATTGCGAGTCTGCTATAATTGACGATATTTTTGTCCCTAGCAAATAAATTTTCCTATTGGATATTGAGTTTTGGATTTCGAACATTAGATGCGTGTCTTTTATAAATGTAGTATATGGATATATTATACAATACATATTATTGTGCATTTAAATGTTTGAAAGAAAGGAAGTAATTCAACTGTAAAGAGCGCAAATAAAACAGACGTCATCAAAAAGTCACGAATTTGGCACACAAATAGAAACAACTAAAGTAAGATTAAAAAAAAAAGAATTTTCTTTATCTATATCTCATACATACATATACATATATATATATATATATATATATATATATATATATACATATATATATATATATATATATATATATTGTATTTTCAATTAAACATAACGATTGAATTATATGTTTGATTTATGAAAAAAAACAAGCATTTACAAATGAAAAAAACAATATCTAAAAAGAAATGACAATATTAAATAATTGCCGAAAATATAAATTTATTATTCTCTAACAACTATTATCTGTAATCTTTTTTTTTCTTTGTTTAATCACAATTAATGAGCAGAGAAAAGAATATTTAATATTTTTACTGCGTATTACATATAGAAGTTGTAAAAAGTCTAATAACGAAGAAACCTATTTTTATAATTCTTTAATTTACATAGAAACTTTTAATTTTCTCAATCTCTATTCGCAAATACTTTATAGATTCAAAAGGATATGCAAGAAAAATTACACCTAAAATTTGCTACATTATACATTGTTATTGCACTATACAGTTGTTTTTTCACAATTTTCCTTTCTCCAATTACTTTCTCTGTACAAAAACATATAAATTCGAAAAGTACATTGGCAGCATAACAAAAACTTGGGATGATCGATAATCAACCAAAGTAGATAATTAATTCATTTTTTAAAATGGATTAATATGTTTGATTTGTATACAAGTTAGAAATATAAATTACATATTGTACAGATAATACAATACAGGTCTGTGCATGATACTTCATAATCGTCAATATATTTGAATTTTATTTCATCACAAATTTAGTATGCGCACAATTTAGTATGTGCATATCAAAGTTAATCTTTAATAATAAATATATTGTGTGAGAGATACTTAAAAAAAGAGAAAATAGCATATAATATAGGTCGCGAGAGTAGTAATTTTTACAAAGTTCTCATTTAATGCATGTTAAAACATATTTCCTATGTCCAAACAAGATAATCTGATGCAATTATAAGGTATTTTACATAAAAATAATAAATTTGATTTTTGTAACATGTATCCGATATCATATTCACGCACTGAATTCGTTCTGTGGCTTTGCCAGCCCAAAAACAGTGTGATATATTCTTTTTTTATACAATAAGTTTCCTAAGTCTACTATTTAATAAATAGTAGATACATCTAAATACTATTTAGTAAATAGTAGTCTACATCAATAACATATTTACAACAAACTTTAACATGGTAAGTGTGTTAAAATCGTATCCTAGCGATTTTATAACACGTTTTTTTATAAATATATTATTTATAAAAAGAAGTTATATATACATATATCAGAGAAGTCCCAAGTTTCCCGCAATCTTTATTATCTTTGATTTCTTTAAAAATATTTTCATACAGCAAAATTGATCTTTCTTCTTCGATAAAACGCAATGCGCGAATTTGGAGAGACACTCTAACATATCTATATATACAAGTTATTATTATACAATATCATTCATTTTTTACAATTAATCATTCACATTTCTGCATATACATGCTCATTCATATATTCTCTTTCTCTCTTTTTCTTTTGCATATTTAATTTTAATCATCAGTCTTAGGGCTGCAGTCTATAAACAGTTCTATGTACATTAAAAGCTATATTTACAAGGATAGAAAGTTGTTAACTAGTAGAGTCAATTTTTTGTCGAGTCAAACGCTATACGTACTTGATAGTGTAATTATGATCTACTTTCGACACTAGTGTCTTTTTAACGCGAAGAGCAGTTAAACGAACTGCTGGATTCGCGTGCCAACACTCCGACATTATTTTACTCAGCGCATATAGAGTCTGCAAAGAAGATAGCAATGTTATTCTCGATTCGCGTAAAATCGACGGGAATAAATTGGAAAGTTACGAAAAAATGAGTCTCTCTTACCGGATCGTTATCCCATTTTGTCGGAATAATCGGACGTAATCGTTTCACGCAGACTACCATGCGCATATCCTCAAAGTCTGGGTCGCTTGATACCACATCGTGATAAGGCAAGGCGTAAGGCTCAACGGTAGAATTTTTACCACCCGTGATACATCTCCTGCATGCTTCCCAAAATACGAGGCCGACAGAATACATATCTGCCATTTTAAACGCATCGAAGGAAGATGTATTTAGGGTTTCGTCCAACACTTCCGGTGCCATGTAGCGTCGCGTACCCACTCGAGTATTTGGCGCAATGTCAATCTCTCCGCTCTCGCTGTACGAAAATAAATATCTCATTGTAGCAACTTATCTCGTAAAATTATATTAATAATAAAAAGAATGCTCTTGCATTAAGTGTTTACGTACCTAATGTAGCGAACAGCCAGTCCAAAATCAGCTATGGCACATTCTCCGTTTCTTTTAACTAAAATGTTTCTGCTCTTGATATCTCTGTGAGCTATAGCAGGTTTCCCCTGTGTACCAAAGATCTCGGTATGCAAGTGCGCGATACCAGAAGCGATCGACGAACAAATCAATAATAGAGCATGATGATCTAGCACGGTTACTTGTAAGTAATCGTGTAACGAGCCTCTTTCGTGATAATCCGTGATCAGTAACATTTGAGTCCAAGAGCCAGTACCTTTGATATCGGCGGCGATAAAACCCAAGATATTATCGTGTCTCATCAGCACAGTTTGGTAAATTTCCGTTTCTCTGAACCAAGATGCTTCCTCTAAAGTAAAGAAAACTTTCACCGCTACTTTTTCGCCACCTCGCCATCTGGCGAGCCATACTTCGCCGTAACGACCTTTTCCCACGCACTGCGACATGGCTAATTGTTTCGCGATAGTCTGTTGCACCAAGAGTGGCAGTCCCGAGCCCGATCCGCTGCTTTGATCTATAAAGTCCTTGAGGGTTCCTTGCGATGGCACTAGACACGGATCTACCTCTTTCTTCCAGCATCTATGATACATGATTCCTATCGTTATCACGATAATCATTAGCATTGCCGATAGGACCACCGCTAGGATAATAATTGGCGCTCCCGTTGTAATATCCATCGAACTATTTGGAACCGCGGTAGGACGTGGCTTGTAGGATATACTGGGAAATAGTTCCTTGTTGCACAGATCCGTGTTGTTACAACATACTATACTCTTCTCGCGTAAGTGAGGAACTTGATTCCCTTTGCATTGCATAAAACCGCTCTCTGCAGGTGGCAGGCACCCAAATGAATACTCGGGCACGTTTTCTCCCGCATCGGACTCCCACACCACCTCCACGGCGCTGAAACATTGTCCTCCGGCTCGCAACTCGCAGGTTCCGTTTTGCCTACCGTCCGGGCAGTGTCCATCGCAGTAACAGATAATGCCTAGCACTGCAAAGAGGAACACAGGGTGATATTATTAGTTGGAATTTTGATACGAATGAATCAAAACAGTATACATAGACAAAGAAATGCGCAATAACTTTCTAACTAATTAATCGTGTCTAGTCATTTAAATGTTATTTTTAGATCGTACGTGTTTCTTTTGACGTTAAAATTTATTTATAAGCAAGTCATGAATATGGAAAGCGCAATATGAAAAATTCAGTAAACAACGCGTTGCGCAAGGTGCGATAAATAACTCAATAATAATTGATACGACAGGCGAAGGAGAGATGGTTAGAAAGGGATATACTAGGCACGCATAGTCGAACGGATTCGAGAGGTTGTTTGACAAGTCGAGATGTGTCATGTAGGCGAACAACCGTCGTCGCCTCCTACGGAAGAACATATATCGTCACGATGAAAGGAGAGATAAGTAGATAGGTGCGTCGGAAATCGGACACATTTCGTAAATGTACGCATATCTACAGGGTATTTCATAAGTGGTAGGCAAAATTTCACGAATGGATTCCTCATGCTTGGAGAAGAAAAAAAAGTTAAACATTATTAAGATTTTTGTAATACAAAATTTTATCTCATTTCTCGTCTTAGAAGTCCTTTTACAGGCATCAACAATGTTTTTCAGGCCACCGAACTTGAAGGAAAAATCTTAATAACTCAAAAACTAATCATATCCGGACCTATGTTGATAAATTTTTTTTTTCTTCTCTAAACATGAGGAATCCATTCCTGAAATTTTGCCCATCACTTATGAAACACTCTGTACTGATACGAACCATCGAAGACGTGATATCTCTCGAACCGTAAATCTCTCGCAGAAAAAAATACCATGGCATTACGTAAATATCTCGTTTCATCGCTCGAAAAATATCGCGTTAGGGAGATCATCGATAAAAAATAAGAAAACCGAGATAAAGACAGAAAAAATTCGAAATATTACACGTATGAAAGAGAGAGAGAGAGAAAGAGAAAAAGTGATGTACGTAAAATACACACGTCACGAATCTTGTGTCTCGTATTAATATATTTAAAAATAAATTGTCCGGAAGTTTCAATCGCGATCCGCATTGATGCAAAGCGTCCAAAATTAGACGTGATTCTGTCCCGAACTAAATTTGACAGATTGCGAAGCTGCAGAGGGGAAGGCATCCGCCTCCGCGCTACGGTGGCCGATAACGGCGGTGAATTTGATACAAACACGGTGTCACGTTTCTAACGAGTATGCGAGCGACGACGACGACGACGACGACCGCTCTCGAGACGGCGTAACGGCCGCGGGACACAAAAGGGGAGAGAAGAAGAAAGCGAAATACAAGTAAGTCGGAGACACGCGAGCGAACCACGGAGGCTGCGTTTATCTTCCGCCCCGCGAAATTACTCCCGCACCATCTATTTTATAGTGACCGCGCTATTTATATCCTACAAATATCTGAATGACGGATCGATGGCGCGTTCTGCATCCGTTCCACGTATCTACTCTTCCTCTCCTTCCCCGCTCGTAGAAGAAATAAAATTTACTCTCTAATGTTGACAATGTGAAAACATGCTACGAATATTAATTATGTATATAATTATGTATATAAAAAATATTATAAATATTATAAATATTAATTATGTATATAATTATGTACTCGTATATAAAACTAAATTTTCGATATAAAATTCATTATGAATTGATCGCAAAGATTCAGATGAAACAAAATGTCGGGAGATAGTTATAATTGATTACACCTTCTTTCTTCCAGTGTTAAATCCTTCTAAAAAAATCGATATTGTGGACCGAGGACTTGATCAAGTTACATGGAACAAATCGAAACCGTGCTCTTCAAAGAGAGACAAATAAGACAAATGGGAGTAAACAAAGCAAAGCAACGAACTCTCGAGTGTCACGACGTCCGCGACTCACTTATCCTTGCGTATCTGGAAATGAAACGCAAATAGCTTGGCAAAAGTATTTTTCCACATCAACAACATTCTGTCAACGCATACGATCGTTGAACGGATATTATCGCTACTCGCGACTCGCGATTAACGACCGCGATGTGTGGAAACGCGGGCAAATCTAGAAAAAGAATCGCCTGAACGACACTTGTAAATCGCGATACCGATCTCGACTTTATCCGAGGAAGGCAGATTTAAAAGCCATGAATCCTAAACGTTAGTTACGCGGAAATTGTGATATTTTTCTAGAGATATCGTAATGTCACTCTCATCATATATTTATTTACATTAATTATTTTAATTACATTTTATATAAAAATATTATTTAAAAATTTCTTTCTTACTCCCTCTATTGATAAGTATAAATAAAATATATATTTTACGATCGCACAAAATATTTCCTTTATTTAAAATTGGGACCATCGGGGAAGCTCCTCGATCTCGAATCTCCGAACGAGTCCGGTTATCAGCCTGCTTCTCCGTCACTGGCGAGGAAAGCCGTAATGAACTGTTTAGAAAACTGTCATGCACACACGCGAGAGTGCGCGTACATATGAATATATGCGAACGCGCGGCTCGAACGGGAGGCGTAACGCGCATATCTGCTTTCGTGCGGCTTTCGCGACGCAATCGGCGCCCGTAATCGCACGAAGGTTTCAATGAATCGCGCGAGGCAACGTGCCAGCTAGTCGCGGACCTTATCAGCGTGGCAAAGAGCAGTATCAGCGATAGCCCATTCCGTACGTCTATGAGTCGCCGAATCGCGAACTCGGCCGGCGATTCTACAAATGCGACGTACGGCTACTCCAAGATCCCAATTTTTTTCAACCTCTTTTAATCAACAATATCGCGATATCACGTCGCTCATCTGATACGAGATCAAAAGCGATGGGTGGCGGGGATGGATGTGTGCAACGTGTTATATCTCGCGTGAAACGAAATAATAATAGAACGATAAAGATAGGCGTACTTATAAGATAATTTGTTGATAAGATAATACATTAAGATTGCGCTGTTCAAGTTATAGAAAAACACTTGTACAAATTTCGAAGATTGAAAGCTAATACGAAAATTAATTTCGATTTGTACAAGAATATCAATACGTGCTACATCGGACTCTCTATTATCTTTTTCTCGTTTTATCGCACTGTCAATATTTACTAGTCAATAGAGGATGCGTGATTTTCTTACACTGGCAATAAGTATTAAAAATCTCACCAATAAGATAATTTACGTCGCGTTTGAAGGTAGTTGAAAGAAAAGTTTTCTCCTCGCCGTGCATAATTTCAAAATTTTCATCGCACTTACTCTTACCGTACACGCTTTACCGCGTAATTCTTATTGAGATTCGTCGAATCGAATAATGTCATCGACTTTTAATCGATGCCGAGAAGCAAACGTTTCGGAGGCCGTGCGCTATCGCGATAGAATGGCATTCGCGCTGCACGCGAATGTGCATAGGAAACTTAATACCCGCGGGCTGCAAATAATATTGTCGAGAAAGGCGGCGCAAACTGGCACAAATGGACTCGCGTAACCGTGATACGTGGCGATCGTCATTTTCGTGGAAGAACAATCGGCCGCGTAATCCTAGATTCCGTAATCGCCGTCGTGATTTCAAGCGGGAAATCCCCAGCTGATCGAGAGGAGATTAAACTCCCGATGCCCAGCGGCATACGAGATCACAAGTTGAATGAAAAACTAAAGTGGACCACAATTTCGAGCACAATTTTCAGCAGCATCGTACAATGTATGCTCCGTTTGCTACAATTACCAATTAAGTCGATTCAAGTTTGAACAATCGCTCGCTTCTTTCTAAGAAGCAAGGGAGGGAGTCCATTAAATCTCAGTTAACTTTAATTAACGTTTATGGGAACGGCTCGCATGGATGCCAGTTTATCGCGTTTTCGTTGTCACGGATAAAAATAACGATCGTTTTCGCGTGTTTACAATCTGAACCCATCCCGAATCCGCAGCATCTCTTTTTTTATTTCAGATTTAATTTCTCGGAATCATCAATCATCCTTTTCACCTATTTTGTTATTCAGATAGCATGTGTGTTCTTTTTTTATTTCGATAAATATTCTTCTAAATGCGAGATATTAATGATCTATAATAGTGCTGTTTCCGGCACTATTCATTATAAATGTTTAATAAGAATTTCCATAACATACGTCGCAAAATAGCTTATTTTTATGTCGCATCCCGAATACGGAACGCACATGCATTACATTAATTTATAAAATTAATAAATTGACACTTATTAATTTCATTTATTTCAAACAATGTATAGACGATGTTCTTGCGAGTCTCGAGAAGAAAAACGTACGTTATATGCGTCGAAGGGAAAAAAAGAAAGAGAGAAAGAGAGCGTGCAAGTGAGACGAGGGGAAAAAGGATCAGGTTCCTTTCCAAGTTTTCAACGGGAGTACGAAATTACGTTCGGCGAGAGGGAGACACGCTAAAACGACGTCGACGTTTATAACCCTTTGATGTATTTCGAATCTTACGCACCCCGCTGCAACAAGGTAAACAATCTCTGTTTCCTACGGACAGACAGATTCCCGTATTTCGCTTCGCACATATTTAACGTAAAAGCGACCGTCTAATCGCAAGTTTCGATTACTGAATATAAAGATACGGTTTGACGTCAATGTGACATGCGAATCGAACAGACGTATTGCAAGCAAATCAATTATTTTAGAGAGGACACGTTACTCCGAAAAATCGTTGTCTCTTGCGGAAAGGAAAATATTCAATAGTCATCGACTTTCGTACATAAATCTTTTTTATCATCATACGTATCGTTTCAAATAAAATCATCGTACTAAAGCGTATGATTCAATATTCATATCACTGTCATCACTCGATTGTAACAATCGTCGGTCGAGTGCAATCATGCGCAGATTGAAAAGAAAAAGATATTAAAAATGTGACGATTATATATCGTAATTATTGCAATTTCAAAGGGTTAAAGTCTGGTGTCACTTTGCTGATATCAAATCGATCGCGCGCGACGATCGGTTGGTCCAGTATCTCGCGTAAACTGCTCGAGGTTCATGCATGATCGAAGCATGCGAGAGAGAGAGAGAGAAAGAGAGAGATCTCGTTAGCAAAAAAAGGAAAAGAAAACGAGAGAAAAATGGGAAAAGGTCGTAGCGAGAACGACATCGATTCTCAGCACTGCTGGTATTTCAGTCCAACTCCGGAGCGGTTAATTTCATCTCTGTCTCTCTCTCTCTCTCTGTTTCTCCCCTCGTCTCTCCCGCGTTCCCGTCCCTACACAGACAGGCGTAAAAAAGAACGACCGCATGCCACGCTCAGACGACGCAGGAATTCCTTTGGTGAAAACTTATCGATCGCCAGACACGAGGAAACGTCCGTTTGCGGGAGGGAAACCTCGAGAGAAAGAGGAGGCTGCGGAGAAGAGGCGTCTTGACGCTCCGCGAAACCAAGTCGAGGAAAATCGAGACAGGCACCAAGGGTTCGACAGAAGTGTCATCCGGAGGAATCAGCCGCTCTTCCTCGAGGCGGGATGCGATCGAGAGCGCGACGAGCAACGTCATCTCTCACGTTCGATCTCTCGAGCACGTCGTGCTCGTCGGTTCGGGGAGCCAAAGAAGCAGGAAGGGCAACGCGAGCGCGAGCGAAGAGTCTCCCGACGGGAAACAAGGCGGAGAGAAATATCCCGGAGGAGGACGTCGCCGAGTTCCATCTCGCATCTGGCGAAAAAACGGCGGCGCGATCGCGTTTCTCGGCAAAGTAGTCCGCATCCGATCGATGCGGCCCGGCAGCGACGGACGCGTTCCCCGCATCCTCGCGATCGGGAGCATCGCACACACTCGGGCACCCACGTACGGGCGCACGCACACACGCGTACACGGGGAAAGGAGAGCGTGTACGCGTTCGACGCATCGCGCGACGCACGGGACGGACGTACTCACCGCCGAGGCATCTCGCGGCGAACACTCCCAAGCCGAGCCACAGGCCATATTTACATCCGCGCCGATCCCTGGAAGCGGAGAGCCCAGCCATTTTCTACACTCGGGAGCACATACTTCACTGTGACGTAAAGCGCTCCGCGTCGAGTCGCAAGGCGCAGGCTACCCCGGCCTCGGCCTCGGCCGTCTCCGTCGTCGGTCGGTTGGTGGGGACAAGCTGCGACGGTGGGACGAGGTTCTCGTGCATCTTCGGCTCGACAGCGAGGTGGAGGGGAGTCGATCCGGCTGTTCGCGGGAACGTGGGTGCGAGCGAGACGGTGACGATGCCGATTGCGAGACGAAGACTCTCAGGTCTGTACCAAGAAACGAGACGAGAGAGAGGGTTTTTATCTGGCACGAGAGATCTCGACGGTGCGATAAGGAGAATTGAGAGGTACAACGTTACGCGTATTACGATAAAGCCAAATTGCCAAATGTCAATCCGTGATGCGAATTTCTGGAATTTATCGTAATAGGGATAATGTTAACGAATGTGCACATTTTCTCTCGATCCTTATGAATATGATATTTTTTCCCCTCGAGCAACTTTCTAGCATTTTATGCGAATAAAATTTAAAAAATAATTAAAAATCGCATAAATCATTTCGCGTGAGAAAAAAAATGTGCGTAAAACAGGCAGTGGATACGATTGCGACATACTTATCTTTGCTCCTTATCTTTGAAAGTCGTTGCCGTCCGGAGCTGATTTTTTCAAAGATCATTTGTCTAGAGGATTATCTCCCTAAGAGATCAGGGTCTGTTTTGGAAGCGTCTTTTCCATGAAAAATCTCTGTTATTGTTTAGGAAGTTTACGTGTTCGCGGAGCTTACGGGCCTGGCGTCGTTTCGTTGGCGGGGAGGCGCGCGACGGCGCCCTTCGGGCGCCACGAACGACGGCACCGAGATCCGGAGATCTCTCGTTCTCTCTCTCCCTCTCGCTTTCTCTCCTCCTCTCGCCCACGTACGGGGATCGCGATACTCTCCGGAACGAGGGGCGGGACGGGGAGGGTCGACTCGAGTGGTGCTCCTTGGAAAGGCGCGAATGTCTATGCGCGGCGCGTCACCGCGGAATCTAGAGCCTAGCGGGCTCTAGAATCTGGAATCTCTTTCTCCGACCCGCGGGATGCGCGCGAACGGGATTTCTCTTTCTCTCTCTTTAACTTTGCGGCATTTGCATTATTCTGGCGGGCCCGTCCCAGTCGATTGAATCGGATGCGCTCGTCGAACGCGCGGATTGAATTCGATAAAAGCTCACGTTTGAATATTTCATTTTTAGCGTCGATTCGTAACAATATAATGACACTTTGATATAAGCGTACATAATAATAATGATAAACGAGGAAATTTGATTTCGAATGAGATGCGCGCGAAGTAAAGGAAATGAAAAATCAACTAGCATAACAACATGATTGCTCTCATTTTCGAGGAGCAGGGAGAAAAATCGAAAGACAGGGAACCTCATTTTTTTCTCTCGTATTTTTATACCTGTTTCTTCCTTTTAAGTCTCAATTTTTTTCGTTAAGTTTAAGGAAAAATGAAAGTGAAAGAACTGTATTTCGAGGATGGAAGAAAGGTCTGCGATTAAGCGCCGTCGGGGGTGTGCATCACGCTGCGTTTTTAAGTAACGATACGGCTGCGCCCTCGGGTACATTGCGACTCGTCTCGGCTCGGCTCGACTCGACGCGCGAAGTATCCTGGTATCGATATCAGATTACCGGTTAATTGCTGACGGCGCGGCGCGCTCGGCCCCGAAGATTGTTGCACTCCGACAACGATATTTCACGCTTCGGGAGGGCGAGACTACTCGCTACCGCTTCCCAAACGGCCCGACGCCCAATCGTAGCGCGATTTTAAATCAAACTGTCCTGCGTGCCGTCTTACGGCCAGGCATAAATCTCGTGTCAATTTTCAGCGACTTGCGAAAAAAATATTGCATTTCTACCAAAAATGATCGTCAAGTTGTTCGTTGAAGTATTTATGCGTCGTAAATCTCCAAGATTTTACGGCAAATCTTTTCTAACGGTGCATATTTTCCACAGGTACAAAAGAGCGAGAAGGGAAGTTGCATAAAGACGACGGGAGCGACAAAAGGCGCACTGTTCCCGAGTAAACAAAGCGCTATCGTAGCGATTCTTTCGCGTTGCAGCTGGCGGATCGGATCGCGAAACACGTCGGTTCGCATCGAGATTAGGTCGTCGCTGGTGCAGCGAGATACACGCGCTTTATGATCTTATACAGCGTAACCTGTTGCGCGTATATCGCTCGAGCGTCAAGTCGCGAGATCCAGATTGAAGCGCGTCCGTCTCGCGCTTAAAAGGCGTCAGTCATTATATTTTTAGAGATGATCTTCGGCACTTTTATGGAAAGACGTCCACGCGCGCTGATTCCAGATCGAGATGCAGCGAGCGACGCGATGCTTTATAGGATTTTTCCCCGAAGCCGATCGTCGTTGATTACTTGGGATATTTTACGCGGAATGCATGTGGATTTTGTTTTCGAATCCTCTACATCTCTCTTCGATTGATTTAGACTGAATTTTTGACGCGGACGTAGAAAAAAATGTATACTGTATTCAAGTAAATATTATTTATTTTAAGTAGGACTAGTATCATAAATTCACCACAAGCATTAAATTTAATTGAATATATTCTGAATTTTAATAAGTGCAGTATTTTAGTCAAAAATATTATAATAAATTATAACAAAAATATTATACATTATAATAAATTAAAACAAAAATTTGGCTTGCTTACTACTTAGAATTGGCGTAAAGTAAGTTTGATTTTTCCTACAACTTTACGATATTCTTGAAGAAAAAATAAATAGAGAAAATAAATAAGAAAAAATAAATTCTTCTTTTCAGTACATGATAATGAGATTTTCTAATACTTGTGATGAGTAAGACTATTATCAAGAATATATTCTTTGTCGAAGAAAACTATTACTTAAGAAAAATAAACTGAGTAAATAATCGCTTTTCTTGGCAGTAGAATGATATTTTTCTCTGTGTATTTATCGAGTCGAGAATTTATCTCGATTAGAACCGATCGATATTTTAAATATCTCGTAATTAAAATTCCATTGTTCTCACGCTTCTACATTTTAATGTAAACACTAATCTCGTTTGCGGCTAGCGTTGTCGCGCGAAAA